ACGTCCATTAAACTATATTTACTCAAGGTGCGTGTGTGTTTTGAGAAGCTTAAAGCTCAACTAATTATTGAATGCCCTTGACCCCATATACATTCCAACGGTGAAAGTTTGAAGTTTGTGAAAATGCAGTAGTCTTCCAAACGCCACTATTCAAGTATGGTTGTGTCCATCAGCGGTGTTGCTTCTCCGCAAGCCTGACTTCAAAACTGGAAAGTCTTGTAGAGGTGAGGTTTCATGGTAGGCTTACCTTATATTTCAGAAGGGTGGAGAGATGTTAACTTAGGAACAATTGAGACTTTTTATAACTGCCACTCCCACTTTTTAAAAGCTGCTTAATCGCAGTTCAGTTCTGTTATTACATATATAAACCATATGTATATGTACTTAAAAGTTACCACAATTGAATTCACGTGGGTATTCCGGAGTACTTGCCCGTACATAAAACATGTTTTCCAGTTACAAGGCAGACGGTGAACTCTGGAAACCGAAATCTATGCAGCATTTCCTTATGTAGGGGGCCTATGTCTGCGCACCTGTCTGGCGATTGGACCTTAACTGTGACTATAACAAAAAGATAACAGACTGAACATAAACATCCCCCCTATACCTATTTAGAAAAAAGACACCCAAAATATATTTTGGGAATGATTTCTGGAAAGGAAGAATTGTCGCTGGAATTAGTTTCTTCTAATGTACATGTAGTTAGCAACACAAATGCACAGAGAGAGAGAGAGAGGGGGGGTATATAGTGTAAAGGCAAAGGATATATCTCCTCAATACAGCATCGATTTCTAGTCATTATTTTACTAAAATACACGATAGTTTACGACCAATTTAGCTGTTTTGTAACAAACGAGGTGCACTTTTTGGGATATCATTTCTAGTGAATAATTTGATATCGGTACCTATTGGGCAAAATTTCTGGAATGAGCTTTTATAGAAAGACACGGATTGTATGCCAAGCAGTCGATCACACAATGGATTTTGGAATGCATATTTAAGAAAGCAAAGTTTATTTTAGTCAGTGAGGGCATCCTATTGCGAGAGGTGCTCAAGAGCGGGGATAGACAAGCAGGTAGGATTAAGATGAGAAAAAAATACTTCGCTGGCATATTGCTAGGCTATGGGAGAGTATGCATTAGTCGATTTGGCCACATAATAAAACCACTTTGAGATGGACCAAGTAACATCATTAAACCCACACTTATTGAAGTAATTCTGTAACTTATGAAAATGATTTCGAAATATTTCCCGGACTGGTAAAAACAAAATTGAACGTCTGTCCTATATTTGATGTCAAGAAGAATCACGCAGGGAGGGTATAGGTTTTGATTGACTTAAGAAAACAAAACTTTGGAGAGGTTGAAGGAGGTGTAAATACTGTAAGGCAGCAATATGGGTAATTTGCAGGGTTGTATGTACTGGGTAAGCAGTAATTGGATGGCCCAGACGAACACCTCTCTCCGAACGCAACAGATTGAGAACAGTGGGAAATTAAGCAAGCGCACGCGATGTCTGACATTTGCCTACAAATTTGTTGCAAATGCTGTTTCCTTCATGTTTATGTTTCGTCTGAAATTGAGCACTATTCTATGTCCTCGCGAAGAGTGAGAAATACTCACAGGTTTTAGGATAGGAACTTAATGGGCCCCATATGTAACGTTAAATTTTTGAAATAATATTCCTTCTGACTTAACGCATGCGGAATCACTCGCGAGCTCGTTTTTGCAAACGCCCACAGAGGACTTTTGGTTTTTCACTCTATATTAATTTAAATTAGGTGAGACGGATTGCATTGTAACATCAAAGAAATAAATATATCCTCAGGTAGAAAATACAATCATTGCCAACTCTGAGTGCGACAAGAAGGTGAGATAAGAATGTGTGAGATTTTCACATGAATCACTACAGTTGCATTGGTAATGTCGACTTCGACCGTTGAACTGCTGAATCAGCCTTCTGCCGTATTAACTAAACAAAGCAGTTACTGTTACCGAAAGTATATTAGCAAACAGTTGGAACTTAACACAATAGGGTATATATACTGATACTGACTTAGATAACTCGTATTTCATCGTTTTGGATCACCAATTTTAAGAGCAGCCACACTTTTATCAGAATTTTTAAGGATTGACTAAAAACAAAATAATACTTTTAAGTAAAAACTTAAACTTGTTCTCATTAATTCGTTGAATTTTTTAACAGAAATAATAATAAATAGAACTAACTTTCTGCCTACTTATAATATGTTCTATTAAGTTATTATCTATTTCTCCGATATGTAACATTAGTTGATAACAAAATTATGAAAAAACGGCACACGGGGAAAATCTAAGGTACGCCTACTTTGATTTCAACTCTTCACTTCGACGTCTTAACTATTTATACACTAAATTGTCTTGATATTTTAGCCAGGTTGATAATGAGTAAGACCTCTCCCCGTAAGACTACTTTAAAAATAGTTCCACCTGAATGCGCTGACACCTGACTGGCAACCACCCCGGCTTATATATTTTCTTGGGATGAGTTAAAGTCAACAGGGCTGCCCCATGGTGAGAATAAATGAAAAATTTCAAAACTAATTAGGTATCAAATATCCGGCAAACATGAGCATGAAACTTATGCTGGTATGTCAATAGTTTATTCCTCTTTTATGTAAATGGTTATATATATGAGTTGATCTACTCACAAGGAAAATTATCACCCAGTAAAAAAGGTGTTGTTCATTTTGACAGAAAAATCATCAACGTTGATTAACTTGATCTGGCGTCAAATAAGTATAAGTTAGAGTTAAGTTTGATTATGGGATGAAAATGAAAAGGGTTCAGACAAAGCGGAGACTAAAACTTAGGGAATGGTTGGAATTCACTGCGTAGGGCATTGGCAATGCAGTTAAGATACCATGATCGATTTGATTCAAATCAGTGATATTAGCCCAGTGAAAAATGCCGATGCAACATTCCAAATGATACAGAACACCTTTCGTCACCATCTTCAATTAACCTTGTAACTCTTGTGGCGCCAGCGATAAGGCAAAATCATTTAGGAGGTCTTGGCCTCTATACCCTACCTGCCCAGGTAAAGTTCTGTTCTCAGAGTTCATCAAACGAATGTTGTTTTTGTGAGTTTAACATCTTTTAGTTGAACACAAGCAAAACACGGAACGTACAAAAGCATGGTTGGTATTTTCCACGAAAGTTTAAATTTTGATAGCCCTTACGTGTCGTGCAGTCCTTTTAAGATGAAATATCGCCGTGCTTCGTCTTCAATGTTACCCTTAGGTTCTTGGCATTTAGGATTTGTTTTTGTTCTTCTGAAATTGGGCCTGATTGGATGAAACTTGTCAGTTAGAATAAAATACTTTTTTGCCTAAAAGGTCATTAATCGAGTGGAAATTTACAGGTAGGATAAACTTCTCTATCAGACGCTGTGGAAGATGATAGTTTCTCCTGACATTTTCAGAGCTATTAATACCATCCCTGAATTAAGGGTGTCTGGCCGGTGAGTTAGGTATTCGTTGGCAGGAATGACCCATACTTGACCAGTTTTGCATGTTCAGCCGTCCGTGTACATGTATTCCAAATTTAAAGTCTGACTGATTCAATACAAGAAGATAAGATGTTCCACTTCCAGGAATTAATAAAAAAATGTTTTCAAAAATTAATTAGTTGTCTTCAAAGAAGAGTCTTTATTCCATGCACTTACAAATTCTTTCTGATAAAGAAAATTACACATTCTCGCTAATGTATACCATGTTTCGCAAAATGGGTTATCTTAGCGAACAGGTGAACACGCATGCAGATACAGGTTGCGCACTTTATCATTAAAGGGGTACAAAACATATATTAGCACACTTACATTTGTGTACATGGTTTATGCCAGCGTGTATAACGCAACATTTCCTGGCCCAGCGACAGGTACTCATTCAAACGAATCTACATTACCATTTTTTTAGGATCGACAGTTTACATAGCCCTTGCAATTCATTTTTTCTACTAGTATTATCTATTCTCTATTTTCGTTATTCCTTGTTTTTTATTTGTCGAACATTATCATTATTTTTTTGAGTGAGTGATTTTAGGTGCATGGATACTATAGGATGTTTACTCCATGTTCTTGGATTCCTGCAATTTTTTTCGGATGAAAAGTAAACAAGATTAAGTGTGCACATCTTTATCTGATGTCTTTACAAAAAGAGCACACAAACAATGAAATGAGTTGTAAGCAAAAACCTAACAAGAACAACATGTGGTGGGCGTATGATATATTGGTTTGACCTTGCTAGAGGTAATGATATACCTGCATGATTATTAATATGGTTTTTGCTATGCACTTTTTATGCACAGGTGGCCGGTTGTGAAATCCTTATTTGCTGGCTCTGGTGGAAGACCGTATCACTGACACTGATGTTCATTTGCCTATTTGTCACATGCAGATAGTGATTTGCGAGCTTTTATCTCATCAAAAGACGCGGAAAATAATGGTTGGGCATGTCTGTTTTCCACATTCTAAGAAAGATGAATGGTTGAATGAAAAATTAATTTCAATAGAAGCAGAGTGAATTTTGATACGTGTATTGATAGCATAACATGTTTTGCTGTTATAAACCTCCTTCCCCTTTCAATTCCTCAGGTGAAAGGTATTTGCACAGATGCCTTACAGCCATGATCTATTTTTCCGTCCCAAATTCATGCCAGGCAAGGGGCAATGTTACATGCACGATGGCAGATTGTCTAAACTTCAGTAATATAAACAAGGAATACCAGATTCCAGCAGAATTCAAAACCAGCTACTCTGAAACGATTTTAGCAGAGAATCTGAGAAATGTTGAATTTGTCTGAAAGCTATCTATGTGTTTGGCTTCTGACTTTATGACAAATGTATAGAAATCCACACGTATCCACACAGGTAAATCTAAAAATATCAACGACCTTTCTGGAACCGTGTGTATCTGTGACGTCATAGTGGAGGAGTTAATTATGCTGGTGATTCACGTCAGTGATTGGTCATCGTTAGATATGTGGCTCAGTATCTATATAGTTTCAGTCTCAACCTGCAGGGGTAAACATTTTCTCGGGTTCTCAGGTAGAACACAGCATTTTCAGCAGGTACGGTTTTGTTGAATGAGGGAAGTACGGAAAGAATGGAAATTAGGTTTTACAAAGAATTTAAAAGGACAAAAATCAAAATGAGATTTTGTCTGTTGGTAGTAAATTGTGACATGTGCTTGAAATTAAGACTTTTATTTCAGGTACAAGGTTATAATGGTCGGTCTTTTGACGCCCTTTAACGTTCTATCTTTTATCATAATGGTCGGTCTTTTGACGCCCTTTAACGTTCTATCTTTTTCATTTCAGAGTCGTCAAAAAGGACGGCCATAACCCCATCCTAAGAGGCCCTACTTCGGAGGTCAGAAAATACATATTTTTCGCGCACAGAAGGTATGAATTTTGATCAGTAGTCTGGATATCGAAAAGTTTTCATTTTGTTTGTTAAACAGCTAAACTTTTTCACAACTTCTGCTACATAGGATTCAACCAAAAAAATCCCTCTGTGCCGGATCATTACCGGCATTTCCGTGGTGGTGAAACATCTGCTTCATTAAAAAGTTGGCACGTGAACATAAGGCCAAGAATACAGCGCAAGTGAAAAGTAATGCGTAGATTGTGGGTTCTCTTTGACGGCCGTTTAGAATTGAATGGTTTTTAAGCCCAAAATATCTTTTTTATGGCAAAAACGTAAGTAAAATACATAGGAACAGGAACTTATAATAAAAAATGTTATGATTGCTTGAATGATCAGATGAGGCGTGTTGTCATCGTAACATGCGTGTTCATGATACAAGCCTTTTCTCTGCAAATTAGAATTGCGTGTAGACAGGGAGGTAACCAGGACGGTACACCTGCATGGACCAAGATAAATACCTGTCGGAAAAGTTCATCAGAGTTCAGTAATTCGATCTCACAAAGGAAATTCCTGGAGTAAAAACAACTTGGTTAAGTTTAAAGCATTTGCTTGAGGTATTTTGGTTGGCAGCCAGTATTGCTAAGAAATCTCTGAAGATGAATGAGTCATATTGCCAAATCCACCTTTGCCTCCTAGAAACTAATTCAAACAGGAGCACGGGCTTATTTATTTAGAAACTGTGGTTTTAAACTGACTTTTCATCTCTTAGTACGGTTATGTTACAATCTGAAGCAGACGCAGAACTAACAAAAATGAAGCTTTTAGAGGTGTGTATCTCAGAGGTCAGTTGTGATTCACTCCCAACTGTGTAATGTAGGTAAATATGTTCATAAGACACCAGATGCCTGAAGCAATAAGCATCCGAAATGCTATTTATAGGTGAGAAATTGCACCGCTTAATGATACTCGGAAATAACGTGTTATTTTTATACAGGGTGCCGTCTGAGAGAACTTTTTTATGTTTTTGTAAACGCAACCCGATGTTCTAGCAATTTGCAACAGCGTACTTCGGGAGTAAAAAATACCTTTTATTGAATATTTTTTACCAATAAGTCATACTAATTTCAATTTTAGTTTGTTTTGTTGTCTTCTTAAGAGTTATAAGAGTCTTTATACGTTATCCATGATGCTCTCTGACATTCATGGGATTTGACAATTGTTTTCATAAATTTTAGGGAAGGAACCCGACTGTGGACTGTCAACTGTCTGGCAACCGCGGATAGCCTACCTAAAACAACGTAACGAGCTCTAAGCTGTCACGGAAGTTAAACATAAGGATAACTCGTCAAGCTGGCGTTATTAGATCGAAGAGCGGCCAAGTAAGCCCTCAAAGACACCCAGCGCATGCATTTGAAGCCAATACGTCATTAAAACCATCTGATCACGTGCCTTTCCCGTGGTTCCTTGTTCAGTTCTGACAGATTGTTTCTGTTGGGATCTTTTTTCTGTTGGACCCTTACCAAACAATACAGTGAGGTAATAGGATTATATGAAATTCGATGTCCTATTCTAAGACCTGTCTATGACCTACTGTATACTTCAGCCTTCCATCACTATCATCGCCATCACATGCTCCACTGGATTAAAACATGACTGAAACTTCACCGTACCGAGACAGGTAGGTTTCGGTGGAGTACAACGCAAATCCCTTTAGAACTGCTGTGAACATATACAAACTGTCACATCATCTTACCTTTCTAACCCTTTTCTGTGACACTGAAACCTTTTCTAGAATCCTAGATATCTAGAACTGTTACCTAAATAATATAAATATATATATATCCCTTTCGTAGTAACACGCTGTTACGTATATGTATGCCATATAGTTGTACATCTTGCGTGTGGGTCTAATGGATGGCGATGGTACTGCTGGCGTTACCTTCGACATCCAGGTACATGTACCTTCTTTATCTAGCACAGTGTAAGTAGTCTAAAGGTAACACGTCGGTTTGAGTGCTTCGTGTACATGTACACTTTGCTAAGCTGGCTGAGGCATGGATGGCATGCAAGGCCCAGCAGGACGTGGTCAAAAGAGTTTTTACTGGCTATTTTTTCCATAACACTCAAATAAAGCGTGTTGCATGCGCACATTGGCGATGACTTGCACTTTTCTGCTCTTATTTAGGTACAAATCCAAGCAACTGCTCCTATTCCCGTATTCATTCTGAGTGGGTCCTTTAGTATCTGCGTGGTCTAATGCATGTGCTGGGCTGTCGACTCTTTTAATTGTAGTATTATATGACAAAAGCAAATGCCTCAAACGTTTTAAGTACATGCACAAGATTTCAATTTTTATGCACAAAGTTTGTTTGAGTTGATAGTGGACATTGTGTACGAGATATTTTAACTGCATGAATAACCATAAATCATAACATGACAATAATATCAGGTAATATTTTTGGCTTAAATAAAAGTAAATAATGAAAACATGAACTGAAACTTTTCATATATTTTACATGCACGAATAAAAAACTCGTATACACAGACAAATGATTTGAAAAATTAACTTGATTACCTAAGTGGGTATCACTACAGTTCCTTAAGGTGGTAAATCATATATATATATATATATAACCAAGCATGTTATTATCATTTTCAGACTGGGCCTTGGGAGCAACGATTCAGATCGGCCTAGTCCCGATCGCAGGTCGTACCGCTCCCGCAGGTACACAGTAGGCATCTCCCCCAGTGACATCGAAAAGTCGGACAGCCCAGAGCCCACAAAGGAATACACCCCCATCCTGATGGCGAACTCTGCAGGAAAACTAGCTCAGGAAATCAACGAGGAGTTTCTGACGTGTAAAATATGTCTAGAAACATACAAAGAACCAAAAAGTCTCAACTGCTTGCACACATTTTGCGAGTCATGTATCGAGAACCATGCCATGTCAGAAAGTTCGTACAAGAAGTACAGCGAGTACAGGGATTTTACATGCCCTCTGTGTCGTAAAAGGACCCATCTTCCGACAGGTGGGGTAAAAGCGCTTCCAGACAACTTCCTGGTTGCTAGCCTGACAGAAGTCATCACACGCCAAAAGCCTACAAAGTTTCCTTTTTGCGATATCTGTAAACTAGTGGCCAAGAAACATAGGGAAGCGAGCTCAAAGTGTTTAGACTGTGCCAAATTGTTGTGTAAGCAGTGTGTTGAGGTTCACAGAGAAACCAAGGTCACTAAAAACCACAGTATTTTCGACGTGGAAATCGAAAAGGATGTGGAGTGCAAAGATCACCCTGAAGAAGTGGTGCGTTTCTACTGTGAGCCTTGCGAGACGTGCGTCTGTGTGCTGTGCACCTTTAATGAGCACAAGGATCACGACATCTCCAACTTTAGCGATGCCGTCATGACGTACAAAGACTCCATTCAGAAACTTCTGAACGGGTGCAAGGACAAGCTGGACAAACACGAACAGCAACTGGACACCCTCGCAAAAGCAGACAAGTCTCTGAAGCAGGCGGAACAGAAGATCAGAGATGTCTCCATCCAGTTCATTTCAGAAATCAGAACCCGAGAGAAACAGCTTATAGAGGAGCTGCACAACCTATACGGGCCAGCCCTTATGGAGTTCATCCATCGCAAGGCAGACATGCAAATCACACTGGAAGGTCTCAAGAGCACGTGTAATCTCACCGAGCTCATTCTCAAAGGTAAGGATATTGAGCTTCTGCTGCTGAAAAATCAAGTACAGGAAAAGTTGCGAAATTTATCTGATCTTGACCTCAAGCCGTTGCCACCAACTGTAGGAAAGCAGGTGCAGTTCGTGCCAGGAGCCCTAGATATGGGATACATACAAGATATGGATCGCCCCTTGTCCATGTCGAAAATCAGAGCCAGGAGAGCCTTCTCCTCAAGTTCAAGCACCGAGTATCGAGACATGCAGGAACAGCCAGAAGTCCGCACCACAGACACGCAGACAGATTCTTCCATCACATCGGCTTCCAACTGCGAGAAGACAACCATGACCGACAAACCGAACACCAACGACAAAAACTGTGCCACCGTGCCGCCGACCGTCATCACCGTGGGACTTCAAACGGATGTTCCTTCACCAGAAAATACTTCAGCTAACGTCGTTGACGTGACGGTCAATCTGATCCCCGACACCGAGGAGTCATCTCTCGTTCAAGAGTCTCGGGAAGAACGGGAACGGCGCAGACGCCAGGCTAGACGCATGCGCGAAGAGAACGGCGAACAGGAAGACGAGGAAGACAGTCGTGTAACCAGACGACAGAGAAGACGGCGTATGAATCGGGCCAGCAATGAAGGCGACAGTTTTGAGAGCAACCGCAAGTCACGAGAGTTCACATCTCCCCCTCCACCTTTCAGGCGTGTGGAGCGTCAGAGCCAGGTCTATCATGGTGACAGCTTAGAAGACAACTCCAGCCCATGACAGGAGGCGCCACCGTCTCCGACGGACGCTACTGGTGCGTCTGAGAAGAAAAAGAATAGAGAAAAATGTACGGTTTCTTGACTGCCATCACGATAGCATCTAACTCTGACGCCGCACATGTTTGATAGCAGTGTCTTCGAGGCACCAAGAGTCGCTGTTGATGTAGACCGACCCGATCTCAACCGATCCGATGCAATTTCCTCCTTCTAGTTTCAAACATATCAAAATCAAATAGATCAGAGAAAAGAACAGACCCCGCGTCGTCTTTAGTTTACCAAGTGAAACGAAGGCAAGTTATGAGTGAAACGTACCCGAAAGCGCATACTAGAGGGACCTTACGATCCAAAGAAAAAAGCACCAGCTGCAGTGTCAGTGACGGTGATTCAACTGACCCCACATACTTTTACCTAGCGAACCACGCTAGCTCTCTTCATTTGAAGAGATTTTATATTTGTTTGTGTATCTAAAACCAAGTTAGAAGGAGAAGGCGTAACCTAAAATACCTCACAGATATGATGATATACAGAATGCTATTATATGTATATATTAAGTCACAGAATATGATATTTAGTAGAATGTTAATTAAGGACCTAGTGGCTATGTGAGATATTTTGGGATATGCTTTATATAGTATTAAGAAAATTGTATTCGGTATACTATGAACAGAAAATTATATATAGATTTATGTGTATACGTCAGAAAAGGCGTAGTTTATATATTTACACGTAATTGTGCCTATGGTACAGTATTGAGCAATGATATTATCTTATTTCAGATTCGTTCAATTAAATTCAAGTAAATGCCAACGAACCAAACAGGTGCTTTTTACAACGAGTGCGTATTAGTAACTGTATAATAATAATTGTATGTGACCAATAATCCAATTAGTAATGACAAGTAAATTCTTTATAATTAGTTGGTACACCCAAGCTTGATTACTACACCTAGAAATGTCTCGCTTTGGTAACATTTTCATGCAGCTATATTTGGTTTCACGGTGCAAATAAAGATATATAAAGGTAGACGTAAAATTAGTATTGATATTTGCAATTGAGAATCAAATAAACAAATAGATGAATTATCTATCAGTTGTCTTTCATTGTTTTGCAGATTGGAAATAATATGATTAATACATCATTATGAAAAGGGCCTTGCCAACACTTGTCCATGTTTTTTAAATTATAAAGATGCCAGTAGACTGTTCAAGTAGCTGGATTATGTCTTTCTCTAGATTTAAGGAGAGACGACTTATATCTGATAAAAGTTGATATGTGTAGTAGTGTTATTCATAATGATAATATTTAAAACTGTTCAATTTCTACACAATTAGTTGAGAGCTTTCGTCCCAACACTTGTGTTACGTAAAGAACTGAACTGTGTGAATGATGCATTGAAAAGATGTCACTATCCAGACTAGGCAATTAGTAAAGTCTCCAACAGTTTCCTAGAACCCACAGACCCAGATTGTCCTTAGAATAAGACCTCTCACGAACATCCAGAGGTCAAAGGGAGGGGCTCGATAGTTGTTCCTAATGTGAGGGGTAGGTCTGAACAACTGAGGCGCATATTCAAAAAAGCACAAAGTCAACGTCAGCTTTAAACCACATCAGACGCTGAAGGATCCGGAAATGCTTTGGCACCCTAAGGATGAAACTGACAAAAAGGACATCAGCGGGCCCATTTACAAAATTCCATGCAAAGGACATGCCGGCAATGGGTGCAACCAAACATACATTGGTGAGACTGAGGTCTTTAAAGGCTAGAGTTAATGAGCACCGAAGACCTAGTTGTTCCAACACATCTGAGGTTTCTCGACACATCAGTTTTGAGGCACCTGATCACACCATCAGTTGGGACAATGTGGAGGTCTTAGACCTCGACCCATTATGGTTCAATCGAGGGGTGAAGGAAACCATATACCGGTACATTCGGGCCCAGAGACCTTCACTAAACAAGGACGGGTGAGGCACAACCTGTCTCTCACCTGGGACAGTGTTATATTGAACAGTTCTTACTAAACTGCTCACTATACACTGTCCTGCAACTTCAGTGTGACTGATGAAGTCCCAAGTGTTGGGACGAAAGCTCTCAGGTACGCTTCCAGCTTATTGTGTAGAAATTGTTTTAATTTATCATTTAACATGAAGACGACATACTTGTTTCACTTTCCCTTTAAGGTTGGTATCACTTTACCAGAGATTATGACGCGGATTTGTTTAATTGTTTAACGCTTGAGAAATATGAAATGGGTTAGAGAATCTGAATATATAAGTTCTGGTTCCTCGTGGATTCAGTGTCAACCCAGCTTTTCAAAGAGACCAGATTTTGAAAAGAGTTTGTATTTTTCCTGATCCTTGTTTCTGAATTGCATTTTAAAACCCACGCTCAGTGGTATAGCGCTCAATAACCACACCCATCGCATCAATCTCATCTATCGCATTCGTGACCCTAGTTTGGTAACTTGCACACTTTGGTACAGGACAGGGCTAACCAAACAACCAAAGGTTTAGGGGCAGTTGGGTGAAGGTGTCGCACTTAGGTGATTCTTTCACGCCTTTTAAGAGAACAATTGAGTAATTGACCGAACATATAAAAAGAATACCTCGTGCGGTTTCAGAGAGAGCACAAAAAAACGCCAGTAAAATGCAGCCGCATGACCGACACCTTTCGATTCTCCAAAGGTTATCAATAGTAGTTTTTAAATACTTTCTTCGCAGATCAATGTATTCGCTCTTGTAAAGCATTTTGTGGGTGTATGTCAACGATCTGATCAATTCACTTGAGAGTACATGGAAGACGACGTGTATTTCGCAATGCATTGCGAAACATAAAGCTACATGGCAAATACCTGTCCCTCAATTGACGTATAGAACATGGCCTCAAAACAGACTGAAAATACAACCAATGACACCATTTGCTTGACCTAGTGCGGGCAATAAGGCTTCACCTGATTGTGATTCGTATACATTTGCTCAATTCAAATATCTATCGTATCGTATCGAATGATGCATACCTTATGTACTTTATCAAAGTTGCTGACTTTGATCAAAAGAAGGACTTCATTTGTGCAGAAAAAAAAGTCACATATCGTTAGTCAAAGTTCTTCAAACATGAAACAAGGACTTTCTTAGTGTGATGTAACAGGTGACGCAGCTATAAAAGGCCATAAGAAAACACGACTTTACAATGAAATTGTTATAAAATCAATAGCCCCTATCGAAATTCCAATTTAACTCTGCACACTTCAGTAACTAAACAAGTGGTCTTCCAATACATCGATAAGCAAGCGTCGGTTTTGCTTTGATCGGAGTCGTTTAAAATGTCGAAATTATCGAACACACCAGTTGCATGATACGTTATGCTCTCTGTGTAAACGTCGTATAAACAAAATACCAAATAGGGAGATTGGAAAGCGACTTTACAAGGAGGACTAGTCGTTCACGCTTTTCTTAGTCGCCACAGAGATACATCCACCGTTGGGCAAAATGGCACAAAAACCTGTTAAGCCATCTGATTCGCTGGAAAGGCCTAGCCTTGAAGCACTCCAAAAGGTCAATGAGGACTTCATAGAAGCTGTGGTGATGGAAAAGGACCAAAAATGCACACGAATCCTTAGGGACAATGTATTATGGGCTAAAGAAATATGTGAGATGGAGAATAAGTTTGGGCTGCGACCGCTCCACGCCGCTGCGGCTAAAGGAATTACGTCGATAGTAGAGGTAAGTATGGCTAGCTCTGGTAATAATTGCAGATTGCAAAAAACATCTGCTTCACTTTATCTCATCCATCACCTTGTGTTTCAGAGAGGTAAAAGTGATTCCTCGACCAAGCACACATTCTAATGCCCTTTTCAACCATTGGAAAAGGCGCACATGTGCGTGTACATATGTGCTGCAGAGTTTCAAATACATTATGAAACTTTTGCTAATACAAATGCCATATGTTTGTTTGTTGCTGTTCTATATTTTATTATATGGCATACAAACAAGGTACAAAGCTGTTGCAATGGATGACCGAGAGGCAAACAAACGATATTTTTGTTTTACATTTCTTATCACAGTGGTCTGAATTGACCTTGAAATGCAACAGTGCTTAGGTTGATAGGTTTTGGAGAGCACTTCAAAGATCAGGCATTAAACTCGAAATGGTCAGGTGGGAATCAATTCAGAAAGATCATGCGTTTTACCTGAATGTTAATTTCTCTATTAAGAGTGCGTATGTGATAGACTATTGTTCATTAAAGATCCCCCGCCGTCACCAGCAAATGCAATAATTGATTTTTCTTTCTTTTGTTCAAATAACTGCTGCTCCCTTTACAACTGTATGCGAAAACTGAACAGAAGCGTCGACACCTTTTACTTGCGTATTATATACCTTTTCGACGCACAAAGCTGGGAGTGGTTATGCTAGGCAGGAGGATCCCAAAGCAGAAGTCACGTTTCACTGTCACATTTTACCAGTTTCAGAGCAAAGTATAAAAACTGATGACTTATGATCTTACAAGTGTTGTAGAATGTTACAGGATGAACACAAAGGCTTTATCAGAATGGTTTCTTTGCAGGCAATAGTCAACACAGGGGCAGACGTGAACCTGAGGTTAACGAAAAATGTAAAGAAACGCCTTGGAGAACGCGTGGATGTGTTTCCAGCCGGTTGTTCTGCACTGCACCAAGCCTGCAAGTTCGGCCATCTTGACTCGGCCAAGCTTCTCGTCTCCAAAGGAGCAGATGTTAATATTGTAGACGAGGAGAACAAGTCACCGATTCATGAGGCTGCTTGGCAAGTAGGTTAAATGTTACAGGCAGACAGCTTGATTAAGGCACTCTCGCACCTAGCGTATAGCACGAACGTATGAGAAAAATTGCCAATTTGCAGACAAACGCAATGGGTTCGTTGGAGTTACGCCGTATACGCCTCGAGTACGCCGGTTGTAAAACAATTGCATACGCTGCTTATATCTTTTATCATTTTAATACGCTGATTTCATACGCTTAAAGTTGTGCGCATAATCGATGTCACATACGATACTATACGTATCTGTTTACGCTAGGTGTGACAGAGCCTCTAGCAGATGACTGTTTTGTTTCACAATAGTTTTTCAAACACTTTCGATTGTTTCGATCCGTTATGTTGTACCTATTCTCAAGTATCTTTAACATTTATCCACACGAAAAATAGGGCCTACTGACAGTTGATGAACTTGCGCACCAAAGAGCGCACATTTTTTAAAACATCATGAGGACACGTCAATGTTAACAAACCAAATCCCAAACAAAATCAAATAAATATAGTTATGAAAAATAGTTATACATATAGGCCTATTTTCAAAGAAATCCTCATCAATATAAGATTCGTTGCAGGGTCACGCCAATGTGGTGCAGCTTTTGGTAGACAACGGGGCTAATGTCAACCTCCAGGACAAATACCTGCAGAGTCCTCTCCACAAGGCCTCAGAGAATGGGCGTACCGACTGCAGCCGCATTCTGCTGGACAGCGGAGCCGACATAGATGCAGTCAACAATTTCGGTCGTAGCTCCATGCAGGAGTGTGCCCAGTCGTACTTAGACACGACCCCAGTGTTTACTATGCTAGTGGAGAGGGGGGCCAAGGTGGAGCATCGAGATCAAAAAGGTTAGTTAATCCCATGAATTTGGTTAGTGAACTTTTCTGCGAAATAAGCAGTTTTTAGCGCCTTAACTAGTTTTGCTTTTACAGAATAAAAATTATCCGGACAATTTTATAAATTGACTCTTATATTCAATCGGTAAAGGGGGCAATTTCATTTTCTTTTAATGAAAGAATTTTTTATATAATTGTATTTCAGGTACTACTGCACTCCACTTTGTTGCCAGACACGGGCAAAAACAGCGAGCAGAAGTTTTACTTAAACACGGAGCAGACGTCAACGTCAGGAAAAACAGCGGAAAGACTCCCATGCACGAGGCAGCACGAAGCGGTCACTCCAGCATGATTAGATACCTCCATAACAATGGTGGAGACGTTAATATCCAGGACCATCCTGGATGGTCGCCGCTCCATCTAGCGGCGCAAGAAGGAAATACGCAGGCTGCAGAAGTCCTCATCGAGTTGGGGGCAAATGTTAACGCCGTAGACGCCAGCGGATACACCCCACTTCATTTAGCAGTTCAGAAGAATAAAGTTGGCACTACGAAATTGCTCGTGGGTAAAGGCGCAGACCTGACTATTAAGGACAAAGAAGAAAATGTCCCTAAATATTATGCCAAATCAGACGATTTGCTTAAAATTCTGAACAAGTAATTTAATCAGTTTAGCCCACGGTTTTGATCATTTGATATACCATTTAAAAGTGACGTAAAGCTTTCAGGGAAAAGCAAAAGGAATGTAGGTTTTAATATTTTTTCTTAGATATGAAGGCAGCAATTTTCATCCAATTCGGATATTCTCTTTACTTTATGAAGCGAACAGCTACAAAAATGAATGCCTTTAGATTAGAAAGAAGCCGGCAAAACAGGACAGGGACCATTACGAGTCATTATCATGGAGAGAACAAAACGCAGTATTTGTTCATGTTCTTCATTATAGACTTAATGTGTAGTGGCACAAACTGAATAGCGGAAAACAGTTGGTCAGCATTTTACAATCGAGGACAGGTTTCTTTAATTTTTAAAATTCAGACGTTTCCGTAGAGCCTTCGTGCTAACCCATTTCAAAATAGGCTACAGCACAGTAGTATAAAAATAGTGTAAAGGGCCAATAAATAAAACAACTTTTTATACCAACATCACGCTTTGCGTTACTATGAGTTGTTAGAATTTTGAGAGCTCACAAGAAAAATATCTTACTGCTCCCAAATTGGACAACACACAGGTCACAATAACTTGGACAATTTTAATTGTTAAATTTCAAGTCTTAAAATAATTCTTAAAATAATTATCAGGAAAAACAAAACAAAAACCAAATAATTTGTCAACATGTAGTTATTCATCCTCCTCTATGGTTTTATATATGCCACGTGATGCCTGGTCATTATTTAATCCTAGCTTCTCAAACCCCCCCTCTTAGCAAAACCCGAGGACCGCCTGTGTGTTAACCATGCCTGCAGCAAATGCTGTGTAAAAAAATTCAGTACCCTGAGACGGGTAGAAAATCTGAATCTGGACAGTATCTCAGCAGACGCTTAATATCCAATTGCTTTTACATTCATAAACATCATAATCATGATTTAAATGATGCTGCAAATGAATTTGTCTAAGTATAAAGAGACTTCTTAAAGAAACATTTTTCAGAGTTCAAAGAACAGGTCAAAACAATTCAAAATCACGGTAATTATGAAGTTTTTATGAGTGAACTGGTAGTTTGATTTGAAAAACTAAACTTAATTTAACATCTAATTCATCCTTGATTTGAAGATCAACTTTTTTGGCAGTTAAATAAAAAGCAAGATGAAATAAAGGAAAATGTATAATTTATTTTTATTTTATGCTCTTTCACCAGTGTCAGAGACGAATGAAGTTCAGTTAAACATGCATATTTTGCACCCTTAATTACATTCACTAAGATCCGTGACAACTGATGTCAACTTCAAGTACTTAATTTTTGCCTTACAGCTCCCTCCATGCCCGCAATGTTATAACTGCCAGCAGTCTGTGAGATACCATAGTGTGTCCGATTGCATTACATCATACATTTTCAAAAATAATGATACGTAATGCTGTTGCTTCAAAACCAAGCAGAATTTATTTTTTCTTTCGTTTTTGTAGCAAAAAATGTTTTAAAAAGCCATAGTACTTTTGACTCTTTGTTTTACATGGAGGCTTTTTTCTTAGAAACAGATCTGATTACTTATGTTCGTTTCCACTGTTGACTCTTGAACAGTAGTAAACAATGTCATCTCCATGTCCAAACGTACACCCAATAGCTTGAGGTTTTGGGGATCTAAAGTCTTCAGAAGAAAAGCCATATTCTGTTTAAATGTCCGTCAGGATCATACCCTAAAAGAAGAAAAATGCTGCAATCGGTCCTTTTTGTTAATGCTATTTGAATCAAATGATCTATTTTGTATGAAAATGTCCTTGTTCCTGCCATATGCGAAATACTGTAAAATGGCTGATCCATTTAAATCATTTATCACTTTCCCATTCAAATGTCTTTTACAAAGATTTACTTCTTAAAAATATTTAAAAATATTTGTCTGATTAAACAGAAACCACTTATAGTGTCACTCACTTTTTAACAATTTGTACCACATCCTCATCTTGCAAAATGTGATCTTTGCCTACTTTTTGAGGCTGGTATTTTACCGAGGTGCCCCACACTATGGCACTAGAATAATGTAAAAGTGCAATTAAGATGTGGATAAAAAGGGTAAAGAGTAACAAACATCACAGGACCACATTAATCAAAAGTAATAGATAATTTCCATTTATCTTAATACTTCCATTCCCAAATATAAAAAGCACCCCTTCTTCCTTACTGGAACATATATCATTTACATTTAATCCTTTATAGCTTTTGCTTCTTTCTGAAACATTAAACATTCAAGTTTATAAGTACTCACTATTTAAATTCTTTGATGATAGTCCTGTGTAATTTATTACAGAAATCTTCTATAGAGGTGTTGCCAGACCTTAGGACGACAGGAGACCTGTAATCTGGAAGCTGACCTTTCGGTTTGGTGTAACTGTAAAAAATAATGTTTAGGACTAAGTCTAGTGAAAATTAAGACTTCCAAACATCAGATATTCCGTATCAGAGACCAAAGATTAACAAAAAATTTTAAATAAATAGTGATCTTGGAGGAGTTGCAGTAAAATAAGGAACCACAAAATTCACTATTAACCTATCGTATGAATTTCTCAGATTTTATACCGTACTCACAAAGTTAAAAGAAAGATGATGTTGCGTTACTGCTCACATAAATGAATAGTTGTCCATCAGGGACTAGCAAAGGTCACTCATGACAAGGGAACTACACTGTCTTTGTTGAAATGTCTTGATTTCAGTAAGGAATTAATTGTCTAAATATATCATCTCAATTGAACACATAATAATAAAATTAATATCTACTGATCCACAATTCTTAAACAATTCCCATACCTTTGAAATGCTACAAATACTCACATCCTAACTAAATTGAGGTATTCCCACATTTTTTCCAGAAGGTCATCAAAATTCCACTTGTGGTGAGCTGATATAGGCACAGTATGGGGGACTTTATGGATTATATCAAGCTCCTGAAAAATATGCATCACTGCTAAGGAAGACTCTGAGATAATTGTAACAAATGAACACTGAAATCAACAATTTCCCACTTAATGTCTTACAACAGAAATATCATCATTCGATCTTATTCAAATGTGCAAAACATTTTAAGATAAAGATTTTTATTTGCTCAAAAATGACATTTCATGTTAAAAATAGGGTTTTAATCTATTTATTAAGTTCCTAAATTGTGTTAAAAAGTGAATGTCTTAGTTCAACCAGTTGTATACCAAGAAAATGAGAAAATTGAATCTTATACTGGATCTTACTTGAATTACAAAGTACATTTCAAGTAAGATCCAGTATAACGTTCAATTTTCTCATTATCTTTGTGTTAAAAAAGCTTCCCATCTTTAGCAAAAAGAAACATATGGGTTCAGAAAGCTTACCTCTATGGAAATCTGGTCTATCTTGTTGAGGACATAAATGCAAGGTATGTAAACCCTGTTGCCTTCCACAACATCTATCAAGTCTTCTGGCGTGGCATCGTACCTCAATGTTATATCTGCATTGTGTATTTTATACTCTGCCAGAATCGTCTTCACAACATCCGCGTCTAACTCAGACTGGGGAACCTAGCAGCAGATAATGTCTTTTAATGTGAATATCTATTCATCACCTATTCAGTTTATATTGCATCTGTTAAAGCAAAATGTATGTAAATAGAAACACCGTGTTGACAGACGAGATATGAAAAATTTCCATTAAAAAATTATTAATAAAGGCTAAAGATTGATCTTTTTATCAAAATCATTGTTTTAACTACTGGTTGCTTCTGTACGTATAACTTAGGGGAAATTTAAGTAAAATTGACACAATCAAAGCTTGTGAACCTACAGATACCAAACAATTTTTATAAATAAATCAATTTTTTATAAAAATAATATGATCGTGCTAATTTTGAAAAGAACCTGCCCCTTTAACAGTGCACACCCCCCTCCCCCCAAGAAAATTTGAAGTAAAACCCAATTATGCCAAAATATTGCCAAAATAATGCTAAAAACTACTGTAAAAAAAAAAATCTGATCATGGGTTTTGAAACGAACTTGGCCTTTTTTACCAAACAGACCACTTGGGGAATTTAAGGCAACACAATAATGTTTTAGCAGTCAAAGAGTGAACAACATGTTTCAGACACCAAAGGCAATGGCAATGGCAAGGGTAGTGTCTATATATAAAATGGCATTATAGACACAGATACAACCATTAAAAAAAGATGGCTGAAACCTTCACCATTCATATTCTATATTTCATTCTTCTAAGTGACTTACCATTTGCTGTAAATTTATTCCACCTTTTTCCTTTTTCCTAAACACAATATTTGGAGGAGTTTTGTTAAGTCTTATCCCAAAACCTTCTAGTTCATGTTCTATCAGTCTTTTATGTTGTAGTGGCTTGAGGACATCAAGAACAATAAAAATTAAACCGCAAGTTCTTGCAACTGAAAAAAAAATTACACACACACAAGTAAAAATTACAGCAAAAATATACATTTCTAAAAATACATTCACAACATATGTTTTCTTCACATTATGAATTTCTTCTCTGGCTAAATAAAGAGAGACATGTATTGAATTACCTGCAATTACTTGCTTTCCTCTTCCTTTACCATCCTTAGCACCCTCAATAATACCTGGGAGATCTAAAAGCTAAAATGAAAAGTACCACTCTAAATTATAAACATCATCATTTATTCTATTGATAGTATATATGTCTCATGTTTGACAACAAGAACTTGCTTAACCAAGCTACTGACAAATAGAGCAACTTCTTAACATCTATCTATGAAGACATACTTCAACTTGTTAACTCATGAATATCAGTTTGAGGAATTAGGATGTGGAGAACTGAGTTGAGATACAAACATCTAACAAGGTTTTACCTGGATCTTAGCACCTTTATACCTGATGACCCCAGGCACAGTAGTAAGAGTGGTGAATTCATAAGCAGCCACCTCAGAATAAACTCCAGCCAGATTAGTCAATAAAGTGGACTTGCCAACAGATGGGAAACCTAAAGATAAAAAAAGAGCACCATTACAACTTTTCAAACAAAGCTGTGATTCAGCTTTTCCCTTGAATATATAGTATGAAGCTCATTAAATACAGACCAGAATCATTTCAATGCCCAAGTTGAAAAATAAAGTTGGGAGCAACAGGCTACAAATGCATTCTGTAAAATAAATTATTGGTTTAACATGTCCTATTTATATCACAACAGAGATCAATTGCTATAAAAATGTTCTTCCCCACAGGCTTTGATTTACAGCTTATCAAAAACAACAAATCTTAGACAGAAAACAATTTAAATAAACTAGTATCATCAATGGTTATAAACCCCCATTTATATATTAACCTCACTATCTTTATAAACTATGCAATAACCATCTTAAAGAGTACATTTGATTTGACATACATACTCATATTACCTAGTCATTAACCTATTCTTACCCACAAATCCTATCCTGGCATCTCCAGTTTTTGCTACATCAAATCCTTCTCCAGCACCTCCACCTCCTCCCTTTGGTTCTATCAGTTCTCTCCTCAACTTTGCTAATCTAGCTTTAAGTAAGCCAAGATGCCCCATAGTTGCTTTATTTCTTTGGGTTCGGGCCATCTAGTCAAAAATTCAAAATGCATTTTATTTGAATTAAATTTCATCGAGGAAGGTGTGCATGCTCTCTGGTGGTCATTTTACATTTATATACATCTATAGCCTTCAAATGTTCACAAAAATAGTAAATATCAGAAACCATAATAAGAAGAGCTATTACATAAATCACCGTGCTTAAATAGTAAATATAATATAGAGTATATCAGAAACTACAGCATATAGGAGTGCTTACACATGTTCAAAACTTTGTACATGTACTATCTACAGTATGGTCATTCTACATAACTTACAACCTTCGACTCATATTAAACGTATGATTAATATAATGGTAATGCACATTATGCAGAACTTTGCATTAACATCTGCCAAAGAATCGAACATAAAGAGTTATAGAGGCCGGCGGAATTCTAAAGCATTTGACATGTGTTACCTTTCCTGAGGTACATGTATGTGTATTTGGGAGGTGGGGTGGGGTGGGGGGTGGGGGGGGGGGGTCTGGTTTAAAATCTAGGTAGCATACAGGAACGTGACATGCGGTAGCAGGTTATAAGTTACGTGCACATATACACATCAACCAAATCAGCGTATCCCGCCGGCATCGATAATTTCTGTTTTAAGTGTAAAGAGAAATATACTGTAATGGTTGAAAATACCAACAACATCGCCAATGAAGACTTTAACAATAAAACAAGAAATACATCTGCCGTTAATACTAATGTGTACACCATACCTCTGCTTCGATCTCCGCTATCTTTTGAAGCGCACTCATTGTTGTAATGGCTTTGAAACAGTAGCAAATGAAGCATACAGATGGCAAGTGCAGCACGTTGATGGCGGAACACTTGAATGACCCCCGGAAGTGTTAGTATTACTTCCTGTTCATAAAGAGTTACTGTCAAGACATTCGGCATGTGGAAAATGTATAGCGTGCAGAATTATTCACTTCAAAAGTTTAATAGCTCACTATCATTTAACTAACTAACATCAATCAAATATATTCTAGACTGAAGTATAACCAATTAAGCTTTTATTTTTTGGCAGGTCGAAGGTCAAAGTCAAATGCGCAGGTGTGCATCCGGGACTTTGTGCCCAGGCGACATTTTCCAAAAAGCTTGCAGTGTTTCGGAGGCGTTTGAAAAACCTGAATTAATAACAGTATGCTTCATAGTACATCGTTATAATTGCTACAGATACTACATAGAAAAGCTACCGAAACGGGGAGAAACAATACGTGTTGAGTGACAGTCTGACTTAAGCAAAACTGGTCCACGAAATTGTAGTATCTTCTCCGCAAAAGCAGCAACGTGGAGGTACATTGTTTTGATTTTGGGATCTTTGACTTTTACCTTTATTTAATGAAATGGACAGTTGGGCTAGTAATTTTGAGTTCCGATATGGTGAATAAGGTATTGGTTACTAATTAGTGCATGTTTGCATAGTTAATTTTGCTTCCTTTTGAAAGCAGTTATAGCTTAGTTTGGGATGTTCGAGAGTATTATTTCCACATCTTCTAACAGTCATACACGGAAATGTGTCAACCATAGACTGTGTGTCATTTGTCATATCCTGAAGTTATGTAAAGAAACCTTTGTTTTTGGAAAAACTCATTTACCCGTATATGTAAGTATGGTGCAGGTGTCTGCAGTATTTTGTTGGGACGAGTAGGAGATGGTAGAATGACACTGTAGCAGAGTACAGCTAGCAGTTGGTTATCACGTAATTATATGCAGTCACACTGTGCAGTTTGAGTTATGATAGCCATAATTATTAAAATGGCAAATGGTGAATACAGATGCCTACTTTTAAAAGCCCTTTCTGCCATTTTGTAAAACGTGCAATTTGACAACTTGTTGTAAAATTATACCAGGATTACCCAACTTGATACTTCTTTCCATTGGAGATGTTTTCACTGCCAGTGAGAAGATGGGATCTGGTCATGTATTACACAAAAGGGCAGTCCTTTTCAACGTTTTCTGTAAAAATTTGTAGAGGATGATGGTGTTTTTGTCAAATTAAGTTGTATTAATTTAATGTATGATCTCTTCAAATAATTGTCTTTTATGCTGCCTCTTCTTTCTATATAATAGCCAATTATTTTTTTATCTTATTAGAAAGGAATGGACAAGAAATCCGAGATAGATGTCGCTCTGAGTGATTTAGAAGGTAACAAAGAAAATGAAAACCAATCGAAATCGGAACATAGTTCCAAAGAGGGATCACCTACTGTTAATTTGCCAGAACATCAATATTCTCGGGTGAGTTGTTAAAAAATTAACTTAATATGAACCTTGAATAAGCTTGATTAAATGTTCTCATTAGTTATTACTTACACTGAACCCTAATATAGATTATACATATTTTATTCCAGTCATGTAACAAAGTCAGTTGGACATGAAAAGTACATACACCAAAGGGCACGTGTTTTAGTAAAACTGAATTGCTGACGATCTCAGAATATTTGTAGGTAACAGGTTTCTCTTTGTAGGATGTTCTACTGAAAATTGCTGATAGCAGTGCAGCAAACATCAGGCCAACCTGTCTCAACAAAGAATATGATGGGTAAGTCTTCGTTTTATTAAGTTATCATAATATTATTTTTAAAATTTTAAACTTGTTTTGTTAGTGTAATTATGTACTAAATAATGCCTAATATATGCGATAACAGGCCTGTAATTAGTGCATCAGACTAGGGGGTAGTAGTGCATTATTTGTCATACATACAAAGGGAGGTTGTACATTTCCCACCCAAACCCATAATTTTGAATAGAATAAGCTGATATCAATGCTGTCTCTAGGACTGATATGTCTCACGGAAGGTACAGTAAGAGATCCTTAGTAAGTGTTCTATGTTATTGTAGGCCAGAGGGATACTGGGATCCAGAAAAGTGGTTCAAGTCATTTGGAGGTTCCCGAGGCAACTCTCCATTGACATTGGGAGATAGAAGGAAACGTCCAGCTGATATTGACCGTGATTCACTGAAGAGACCTGCTGGTAAGAACCTTTTTGTTATTCTTGGAACTCCTATCCAAGTATCTGACAAGAGCTGTAGTAAATTTCTCCTTAATCTGTTATCAGTGTATTCAAATTTCATTGATAAAAATGGCCATTTCAAAATATTATTATATTTTTAAAGAAACCTTTCTTCTAGTGCCATGTTTTGTTTAAAATATATGTGGCTTCACTAGTTGAATGAAAAGTTGAAAACCGATTCTTCACTTCACAGTTATGTCACTTGCAATGTAAACCTGTCTTAATTTTTTTTTTTTTTTTTTTTACAACCTGCATGCTGGAGGGTTCAGAGTAACATAGAAAGTAAAATTAACAATGTTAATACCACTTAATTGTTCTAGATCCCAAGGAAAGAGTAAAGCAAGAAGACAGTGGTATTGTATTGAGTCCTCAGAGGCGTAGCTTCCTAACAGGATGCCATGTGACTCAGACATCGTCACCATCTCCATCTGTGCCTCAAAGACAACTTAGTGTGGACTACAGAGACAGGGAGAGAGACAGGGATTTGGATCGGGACAGAGAAAGGTACTTCTTTAAAACTGAGATAAAGAAATGCACCTAGAAATGTGCTTTGTAATCATCAAGTGGCATATTTTTCATTTTTTTTTTTTTTACTTTAGATTTAAGTTAATGGTATGAATTCGTTAGGAATGAATCCCCCATTTTCATTTGATTTTGTTATGCGAGTATGTGGTCAGGAATTATAAATTTAAGTGTATTTGGGTGTCTTTTCTAAAATTTTCTCTCTATTTAGACCTAGAAATGACCAGAGGCGAATAGGAAGTGGTCGCATCCAACTTGACCGAGAGCGGGACAGAGAATATGACCATGACAGGGATAGAAGAGAATTCAGGTTCAGTAGAGATATTCGAGATAGCCGGGACATTCGTGACAGTAGGGATCTTCGAGATGGTAGGAACCTGAGAGACAGTAGAGATAGCAGAGATTCCCGTTTCGACAGAGATCGTGATCGAGATGACAGAAGATTTGAACGCTTCAGGAGAGATAGTGGAAGTTATGATGATCCAGACAGGAGATACAGTAAGTATAAGATAGGCTATTCTTTTGCTTTAGGTATCTCTTGTCTTTAACTGGATGGGATGTTTCCGTAAAGATAATTAAAGTAAAGCGAAATACATGTGAAACCTATTAATAACCTATATATATTATTGATAATTTGTATAACTGTCATGTTATTGTCACAGATCGTGCAAGAAGTTTCCGTTACAACGAACAGCCTGAGCAACCGGAGTGGTTCACAGAGGGTCCTATCAGTCAGTCTGACACAATTGAACTCCATGGGTTTGATAGGACTTCTGATGATGATGATGAAAAGGCACCAGATGAAGAAGAGAAGAATGTTGATGGACCAAAAAATTTGAGTAAGTGATATTTTAAATCAATTTTGGGGGTTTGCAAAGCAGTTTTTAATGTTAAATGAACCTGGATCAATGTATGTCATCTTTGGTACGTATCCTTGTATAGCCAAAAATCTGTGATGTGTATTTTCTATTGAAAGGAGTAGATATGTTGTTCTTGTATTTTTGTCTACCACCAATTACTGAAAAAGTCTAAATTTCAGTATTGTTTTACAGCACATGACACACCGTTATTTGCAAAGAATGTTTATTTTCTGAATTGTCTTGCAAGTTACATCATATTGTTTATTATTCATCCACATTTTAACAGCAACCGTGAATGTCCAGGACAGGAATGGTAGCTTAGAGACCCAGGAATCTAGTTCACCCGAACCATCTCCTCAGTCTGAACCAGAGAAGGCCGTCCCATCTGCCACAGAGAACGCTGTGCCAGAGTTTGATATCAACGAGTTCTTCAAGTCTAATCTAGAAGTGCAGGTATGTAAAAATGTTGTTTCCAACACTAGTTTCATGTACATTTTGGAACAATCCATTTGCCATTATGACCTGTCAAAAATTGATTGTAATCTTTTGAAATTTGAAAAATGGTTCTTACTGGAGTTGGAACTTAGTAATTAGTTTCATGATAACATGTTTAGTAGGATTGCTCTATTTTCAATTGTCTTTCATCACTTTTCTTCGAAAAGATCAACTTGAACAACTTAAATTCTCTCTTTTTTGTAGGAGTCCACCAGTCCAAAACCAGATCAAGTTCTCCAGGTTTCCGGCAGCCGCTTTTCCCAGTGGTTCCAGTCCAAGGCTCAAGGTGGTGGAAACAGCAATAGCAACAGCAGGCGATCATCCCTTGATGGGGATTTCAGTTTCTTAAATGGTTTGTTTGATTGCTGATCTTTAATGAGTAGGAAATTTATATTTGCAAACTCTAGTTTCTGAGTTCTTCCCTTCATGCTATTTTAGGTGCCAAATGTGCACAGATAAAAAAAGATTGTACGGTTAAAATGGCTTGGATTTTTTAAAAATAAAAATGGAGTTAGCATGAATTTGAAGCAGATTATAACCCCCTAGATGTATGATTCTTGTGTGGCTCTGTAGTGAGAACTTTGGGGAACTTTCTCTCCCAGATCTCATCAGTGGTCAGAAGAGCCCACCCACAGTTTCTCCCGCCCCTCCCTTGGATGGTGTACCATTCCATGCCCCTTCACATGGGCCAGAGGAGACCAAACAACCCAACATCCTAGAGATGCTGCACCATGCTGCCAAGAGAGGAGGACTGCAAGGTAAAGCCTGGGTCTCTTTACAGGGTTATGAGAGAATAAAAAATGATGGGTGTTTGTAAGAGAGAAATTGGAAAAATATGATTAAGCTTTCTAATTGTTTTATGTATGTCACTTTAGCATTGGCACAAATTTGTAATCTGTGTATAGCTATTCACTTTAAGTTTTGGAAATTTTGTTTGCATCTATGCTAGACAATGTTTTTCACATGTTGTGTTGTTGCATAGTTGTTCATAAGGTGATAAATGTCCATGTTGACCAAAATTTCAGCAGAATCACATGGAAATAACAGTACCACAGAAGCAGAAACCAACTTGAAAGCTCTTTTAATGGGTGATAATAAAACGGAGGCTCTAAGTCCTAGCTTTGTTCATCCTAGTGTACAGAGTAAGTTCCCCCTGGCAGTGCCTTCCCCATGCTTTCGTAGTGTAGATCGCTTTGAGCTGGGCTTGCATATTAGTCTCTCTGACTAATCTATATATAGTTGCTTCAGTATTTGCTTGGGTGGTGGTGAATAAATTCCTTTGTTTGTGCCACCCATGCTAGTTTACGCGTTGTCCATTTTTTTTGGAATATAAGTATTTTTTCTACATTTAGAATTTTATTTACTGGCTGATTTAGTTAAAAAACACTGTGTATGGATTTATTCATTTGAATCACTTTTTGAAACCGATTTTCTTCCCATGTGTTAAGCAAGTGAAAGATGTAAAATTTTATGCAATACTTTTTGTTTTCTCACAAGGCTGGTTTCCAATATATGTGGTTTCTAATCTTTAGAACTTCTATATCCACTCTGACCTTACTATTAGAAGTTTCTGCTAAGTCCTGAATTTTTGAAGGTGTCTTGCTAACCATTAACGTAGTTGTGACAGACATAATTAAGGGTGATGTAAATGTCAGTTGCCTTTATACCTTCCTGTTTGTACTAACAATGAGCATTTTGTCTGTTTTATGTATCAGGGCAGTATAATACCCATAGTTCCAATAATTACTTTTATTACTTTCTGTAAATCTTGACAAAGAATTTACAAACCTTAATCTTATATTCTCCTTATCATAAGTTTACTGATGGATGCCATCACATGGATAACATCACACGTTATGCACATATTAACTGTAATGGACGTCCATCTGCAGAGCAGTTTGAGATGTACTAAGGATAGATGCTGTACTATTTGAATAGTATTTTTTATTTTTGGTGAATGCATACATGTCATTGGTCTGGTTGTTTTGTGCTTGAGCATGTGAATGTAATAAAGGATGTCTGAATGGTATTGAAAAACGGATAGCAGTATTTTTTAAGTCTTCAAAGAAAGTGGTCATGTATCTTTAAAGGGTTCTGCAAACCCCTCTCATTTCTTGTTTATGCATTTCAGGTTTACCCAAGGAAAAAGTGATGACAGCAGAGGAACTTGAAGCTGGATTGAAGAAGATGGTACTTGGCGGTGGTAATGCTCCAGGACAGATGCCAGGAGAGAACCAGCACCACATCCCCCTGCAGCACAATCAGAAACAACCCCACCATCACAACCAGCAACAACAGCATCAGCAAACCCACCATCATAACCAGCAACAACAGCAGCAACAACACCATCACAACCAGCAGCAACAGCAGCCACCACCAGAGAGTTTCTCACCACAACTACAATTCATTGCTTCTCAGTTGGCCAAAGCTCAGCCAACCCCCACTCCGCCACAAAGGGGCACCCCAGGGCACCCTGGCATGTCCAGTGAGAACATGCTACCCCCTATGGATACACGCACACCTAAGAACCAAACAGGTTCTCCCAATAACAACGACATGACAGCCTTTAACAAGTTGGTAGGGCTTATGAAGGCTAATGGGGCATTGAGTGAAACACCAAAGATGCCAACAAACGTAAGTTTGGAATTTTGTTTTTAATGTATCTCTAATTCACTTTACATTTGTCTTACTAAATCATAGAACAAAAAAAAAAAAAAAAAAAAAAAAAAAACTCTAGAACAGTTGTGTGTATTATTTATTGTGGTACATGTTTATCTTGTTCTTCAACAGGCTGTTATGACAGAACCACACAACCTTCCACCTGCAGCCCAACAACTCATTGACCATGCTCAGAAAGAAGCTCAACAAAATGCAATTATACAGGTAAAATGTTAAGGGTTTCTTTTCATTTATTGTGAAAGACATTCATTGGAAAGTTGAGTGAGATGTGTACAGGGATTGTGTGAAATATGAAACCCTCTCATGTGATGCCTCTTAAAGCTGTAGCTCTGACAGATGGTATCACCTAGGAAAAAGGTGTTTTTGACTTAGTCTGCATAACCAAGACATCTACCTACCTTTGACACAGAGAACATGCTAACAGTGCTTTAACATCTAAATCTTCTACTAATTAAAGCAATATTTTCTCTTGAAGAACCATATCCTGTGTATTTTGAAATGAAGTGATTCAAGCAATATCTTGGTGATAGAGGTCAAGCAAATTATATAGATCACTTTTGTTTCTATATAATGAAAGAATTCTAATCCTGATCAACAGTTCCATGTTGAAATCCTCCCCATGTACAAATCCTTTCAAAATGTTTGTAATCCTAGATTAATTTCTGAACCAAACAACTCGCATTCTGTCATTTAAGGACTTGATGAAGGCACAGCAGCAGCACCAGCAGCTGCAAGACTTGCAACAGCAGCAATTACAGCAGCACCATCAGAACCAGATGAGGAACCTGCAACAACAGCAAGCCACTCCACTTCACTACTCCTCCCTTCAACAGAAGGTCCAACAGGCAAAACAACAACATGATGCCATATGGAACTTCATTCAGAAAAACCCTACCATTATAACCAAAGGGGCTTCTCCCCAGCCAGGGGCTCCACCACAGCCTCAGCAGCCCCGTGGGGCATCTCCACCTCAACTGGTGCAGCAGCTGGCTCAGCAAGCAGCACTGCAACAGCAGCAGCGCCAGTCGACTCCTAAGGCACCATCCCCAGTCAGTAAGTACCAGAATTGTCCTCTTTCAAGCACAACTTAAATTTACCACTTAAGCATATCTAACCAGAGAAGTAAATGTCTTCTTACAGCTACATAACAATATTTACTGCTTGAATATTAAGACAAATTGGGTAAGTTGGGCAGCAATGTATATGAAGGAAATATGTCAAACATACGTCATAAATGAACTCTTTGGACAAAAGGATTATTTTCAAAGTTTTTTGCCTTGTTTATTTCCAGTGTTTGGTTCTCAGCCTCCAATGCACCTTAGAGCCCCATCTCCAATACATCCAGCACAGTTCCAGCAGCAGGTGCTCAGTCAGAATCTAACTGTACAGGTGAGCTGATGTGGTGCCAACCTGCTGGGATATTCTTTTGAAAAATATCATCTAAACAGGAATGTTGATACACAGATAATTTTAGCGTGTAGAACTGAAAGTAGATTCTGAAGATTTTTAATGAAATTAGAATAGTTGTGTGTGTGAGAGAGAGGGAGAGAATGAGCCAGAGACCTGTCTTAAATCAATAAATTGAAGTATTGGGACCTTATTGAACTCTTCCAGACCATTTCAGCCATGGATTTTGTATATATGTCATAATTGTGTTACATGTGTTACATTACCCTTTTTAGGGCACAACCCCAACTGCTTCTTTGGCCCGTGTGCCATCACCACAAGAGCTGGCAGCTCACACTCAAGCCATAATGCAAAATGCACTGCTCAAAAAACAATTGGAGGATCAAAGAGAGAGATTTCTAAAGAAACAGCATACTGAAGGGTAAATAAAGCTTTGTCCCTAGAGATTCACATGACTATCATATTTAGTTAAAATTATGTTTTCTGTATATCCTGTGTAATAATCTATATTGTTATTGAATGTAATTGTTTTGATTTGGTTGCAGGGGTAAATCTCCTATTGGTGCACCTGGTATGGCTGGCTCCCCTATGATACCACAGAATCAGAAGGTAAAAACAAATTTGTACATGTGTTTAAATGCAGTTACAAATATTGTGGTTTCAGTCATATTTGCATGTGTCATACTTCAAATAAATATTGATTTTTATATTGGAAATTATAACTTCTGTAACTGAATAAGTTATCAGGACATTACCCATTGTATTTCTTCCAGGCCAAATTTTAATTATGAGATCTTTTAGCAATCCAGCAATGTGTGTAACATGTGCTCAAATGTTTATGGGAGAAACATCAGTTTTGTACTAAAAACAGCCTCTTAAATTTAAGCCACCAGTCTCTGCTGCATTTACACCCACCTCTGTGATCAGAAAACTGGTGCAAGATAAAGCAGAAGAGAAAGAGAAACAAGGCAAAGATGGTGGTCAGCCTGGTAATGAACAGAGCCCAGCACCTACCATGATGCTTCCATCTTCCCAGGCAGAATCCAGTGTTCAGACTCCAAGAGCACCTGTCCCCATAGCTAACCTGATGGCAGCGGCAGCTATGGAACAAAACAAACAGCCGCCACGCCCTCTAGTGGGACAAGGAATGATGAACATGCTGCATCAAGGACAGATGCAACAGGCACCAGGTCGACCCATTGTTAAAGGTACATTGACAATTTGCTATCTTATATGTTATCAGCAAAGTGTGAAAGTTTTTTTTGTTTTGGTGTCAAAAAGTAAAAAAAAAAACAGTGAAAGTTTATTAAATTAGTGTTGAACTCTGTGTTGCACTGTGTTATAATTGAATTCTGATAGTCACGATTAAACTTTTGGATCACCGAGTGGGGATGGCTCTTAATTACTAATATATATCTAAACGAGAGAATACGAAAACAAATTTAAACACATTTGTTTTTACTTTGATGTTCCAGGCAACCCAACTAGTCCAAGCAGTCCAGGTAGACAGCAGCAGCTCTCTGGTCAGCACATTCTAAACATGATTAACAGGGGAAACCAACAGGGCCAGCAAAGTCAAGATATCAACAGACTCATTGAACAGCATTTCCAACAACAACAACAACAGCAGCAACAGCAGCAGCAGCAACAACAACAATCACCGCAGCAGCAGCAAGTTAGCCCCAACTCAGCAGGTGTTCCTCGCTCTATGCCAAGTGGTGTATCTCCTGGTAATGCTATCCCTGTGCCAATAACAGGAAGGTCTCCTGCAGTAAACCAAAGAACAGCTGCCCAGGCTCAGGCACAGGCTGTGGCAGCACAGCAGGCACAGCAAATTTTGGTGCAGAGAATGCAGCAGGCTGGGCTGAATCAGGCAGCAGCAAGAGGTTTGTAGATTTGTCAATTTCATATTTCTCTGAGAAATTTCAATAGTCTTTTAATACATCCAGGTCTTTACAAAGTGAATTATATGTATTTGCAAGTTGAAAAAAACTTTTTTTGACATTAATAATAATTGACATTAAATAAATGAAATGTTTTGCCCATATTGCTTAAATCATTATTATTTTTTTTTTCTCATTAAATGAAAGCATGATGGGTAATTGATGTAATATGCGTGTCTTTCTAATACTTCAGGTTTGCAGCAACAGTTGGCCCAGTTGAACATGACTCAGATTAGTCAGCTGGCAGCCTTGCAGCAGGTCCAACAGAGGGCAGTACTGGAGAGCCTGATCCAGGCACAGACATCCAGGGCAGCAGCAGCAGCTGCAGGCTATCAGCAAGGCAAAGTGGCCTCCCCCAGGCCTGGCTTCTCTAACAGTGTTCCCATGTCTGCCAACCCGGCTGTGGTCAGTGCTGCTGTCAACGCAGCTGTAGGGAGAAACAACTCCCCTCAGCCACAGATTCCCACACCTATGATTCCACAACAGAATAGACCAGGTGAGGTGGATTATTATGCTTGAAGAGAGCACTTGAAATCTAGTGAAAAGTTTTTGGCTCTTCCAATTTTTTTCTTCTGTTCAGTTAATGCACAGCTAAACACTTGGTTGAACTAAAAGAACTGGCAGATGTGGAGCATCTCTGCTTTTCACTGTTTTGGATAATGAGTACTGCATCAATGAATTATATTTTTCAAATAAAGCCATCACAAAATACAAATGGTCTTCATATTCATATGTTTGGAATCCTGCTTTGTTTCAGATGTTGTCAATGGCCCAATGTCTCCCGGTCGAGCCATCCATGGCAGCAACCACCCCTTCCCACAGCACAACTCAAACATGCTGAACATGCAACAGCACCAACAACAGCAGCAACAGCAGAGACCAGGGGGAGATATAGGTGTGAACTTGGCCAAGTTGTTTGGCAGCACTGACAGCCCTGGGCAGCTCCCCAAGATGCCACCACTCCCACAGCAGGGCCAGAGAGTGATGACTGTGGATGAGCTGGAGAGAAGGCAGCAGACTGTAACACATTGAGAAGATAATGGGATGATACGTTATGTATTGGTGTCATTGTATGAAACTGCCCCAAGATTAGACGTTTCATTGTAAGTCACATTTTGAAATTGGTTGTGTGGCTGATAAAAAGAATTTTGTAGGTTGTGTCCAAAAACAGTGGGCATGTCAGACAAACCAGGAGAGATCAAAAGGAAATGGCTGCTTCTTGATAAATGAACATCCATACTGAAACTAATACTGCCTGTGTGTCATGCTTAATGTTGAATTTTTTAAAAATGAATCGTCAACTAATTTTGGAGAGGAAAATGTAGATGTTGCAGAGAAAATGAGACCATTCATGCCTGCTAACTGAAAGGAATCAAGAATACTTTGCTGCTCTAAACATGTTTAAATCTTAGGCATTATCTAAGCAGGATCATGTTTATTTATTTATTTTTTGGAATTAACAAAAAAGAAGGAATCGAGTCTTACAATAAGTTTTGCGGTATTCCTTAAACAGTACTATGAAGAATCTGAAGTGACTGTTATGTGAAGGTTACTTGGAGAAACAATTAGGAAGTTTCACTTATCAGCCTGTCATAGTGTTGTTATTTGTGCTGGGAGTTGCATGGGTGTCGAGTAAAGCAGGCCAATTCTGAAAGTTTCAGAATGTTAGCTTACTCACTGGCTTACCAGATGCATCAGTATTAGCATAAGCATAGAACTCAAATGAAATATTTTTTGAAGACAGATTATTTATTTTTTGAATTTAGAGTAAAAGCTGGAAAATTAAGTGAGAAAGAGTGCATAGGAAATCTGCAGATGAGGAAAAATTAGCCTGGATACTTTGTAGTGTTGTAAATATGTATATTGTACTGCTTAGTATATAAAGTTGCAACTGTTGTGGTTTGGTTAGTATGTTCAGGAGATGTAATAACATGTCAAATCTTAAAATCTAGTCATGTTGTGTAGTGTAATCCATTATTGATACTGGTGATTCAGTGTTTATGACTGTTGAGCAAGCTGTATATAATGCATTTTGTATTTGGCTGTAAGATGGTAGAATTGTTGTGGTACACAAGTTTCCGGACTAGTTATTGTACAGAAGTGAGGTACATGATCTAAATACATAGCATATATGTTACTGAATGAGTGAAAAGTAAGCTGTCTAATAACATGTGTGATCAGAATCAATATATGGAATGAGTATGTGAGACTAAGATGTGTGTGTGTGAGTAGTAAAAAAACACTTCCATGTCAAACTGTCATGTAAATGTCTCTTTAATGTCTTGTCCTTCTGTATTATTTTGTGTATTTAAATTACTCATAGCAAACAGGAGAGGCTAATTTTTGTTTTGCAATTTGATTTGATTTGTTCAGGTGTACATTTTTTAGAGAGTTGAATGGGCATGAAAACTGTGTAGTGCATAAAGATATAGGACAGTAGGATATTTAGTGTGTCTGCTGTATATTGCTTCTGTTAGATTCTCGATGGATGATATGTGCCAATTTAGGTCCGAAAGTAACAGTTAGATGGATGGTGTGGATTGAATGGTGTAAAAAAAATAGTGTTCTTTACTACATGTCCTGTGTTTTTGTTTGTTTTGTCATTTGTGTGTTGTCTTGTTTTATTTGCATATACATAATACTGCTTAATACCTATTTACACTGAAGATGTACACACTGTTTAGTATCTGTGAAAACCTGTCATCATATGGTAAAGTTCTGCAATAGACTTAAAGAACTTAGTATGTTTTGTGCAATTGCTAATTCCGTCTTTCTGTGTTGCTATTTTGTACTGTATATAGTTACAAACAACAGGTTTTGCTAAATCACAAAACCCTTAATTTGTCTGTGTAAGATTGAAAGGTGATTGTATCACCAAGTTGTGTGAAACTGATGTAAAAGCTATTGTAATTTCTGTCCATTACAAAAGTAAGTGTGTAAGTGTTATGGTTGAGGCATTGTTATTCTGATTCTATGTATGTCTTTATTTGCCAGGTTCTAGTTTTGCCTTTGTAAACCTCTAATATTTAATTACTAAATGTGGCATTTCTGCACTGCCTTCAAACTTTAACTATGTGTGTGTGAAATTGTGGTTAATCTTGAAAAACTACAAGTGTCTATTAAGTTAGGGTTTAATGTTTGTGGCAGTCACTTTTTTGTACATATTTCACTTCTCACCTTAGCAATTTTTTCCTGATTTTTTTTCTTTTATGTATATATATTTTTTTCTGTTAATTTTACTTCAAGTGGATAACTGGAAGTAAGTTGTGAGAAAGTTTGATATTATCTAAAAAGGAACTACCCAGTGCATAAGTCTGGTTGTTGTAAGGTTACACATCCAGTCAAAGATGGTTACATTCAAAACGAGATATGCCAAGAAAAAAATCGAAAAATGGGGCAGTCTGCTTTGGATCTGCACTAATGAAAATGTTACTCAAATCTGTAGAAGGGAGGAAAGTACTATGTGTGTGTTCACTAGTCTGCTCTCAAACATGCTACTATGTCAGCAGTCCACTCCTTGGTTTTTAAGCAAGTGAATGTGGTAAAACGGCAGCAAATGTTAAATCACAAGGGTCTGAAACACTGTAAACTGAGTAAATTTTTGCAGTGATGATAGCATCTGATAAAAAATTGCTGCAATCAAAGAATTATATATGCCAGGATACATGAAATGTACATTCTCTGAGAGAGTAAGAAAGGTTACAGATAAAGTGAAGAAATTTAAAAAAAAATTTATTCAATAGATCTAACACTCCAAGCAATTTTTTCAAAGTTGGTAACAGATGCTGAAGAGAAAGTAATGAATTTTAAAAAAAACTGTTCAAAAGGTGGAGGGACACTCCAAGCAATCAGTTTGGTACCAAAATGTTTTCACAGATTACAGGCATCTGATAAGCAAAAAGATACATTTTACCAATCTATTTTCAGCAAACGTGTTCATTCACCACAAGCTCTAGTCTTGTAAGACTGGCTTTGAGTCCGTTCTCCACCATGAGGTTGATAAGTGTTATTATTACATGGTTCAACTTTGTGATCAAATAAAAAAATAATAAAATAACTATGTGTTTGTTTTTAACTTCTTTTTAATGTTTATCTTCAGATGTGATTGTAACTTGCAGAATTTTGGGTACACCAGCATTGTGCAAACTTCACAAAAACTTAAAAAATTTACACTAGCACACAACCTTTGGTGCCATAAAGCAATTTCTTATACCCAATGGATGGAAACTTGAAGTAGTATCAATACACTATCAACTTCATCTTACATTCATTGCACTATTAATTGGATGGGAGAGCAGAAGATATTCCAGTTTTTATCCACTTCATGTGGGCACAACTGGTGATGAATCATAGCCATAAGGCTAACTGTAGATTTCTGTTCTTGAAGATAGCCTTGTTTGCACAGGTCACTACATTATAAATGGGGCACAAGTGTCTGGTAAAAAACTGATACCACATTCAGCACTATTCCCAGTTAGCATTCGAACTGCGTGCGCACGCATGTCTATTTCAATTGGTCCTTGGCTTTAGTAAAAGGCATTGTTCAAATACTTATCAACTGGTAATACAATTATCTACTTTGGTATAGCAAATTATCTGCTTTGGTATAGCAAGATTAGTGTTAATATAAATCTCTTCACATTCATCTCTAAGGGCTGAAGGTATTGACAGGGCTGACCACACTAGTGCACAGTGAATTTGGACTTGGGCTCGGCGTGCGAACATTGCGGAACTTTTGCTTCATAATTGTTACAAAAGCCCTGTGAAGGGAGTCTCTACTAGGTGTGCAATTCAAGTCTGCTCCACTGTCATTGGACACCTGCTTAAGGTTGTTCAGAGGTGTTCCTCCTGGGGATCTGGAACATTTTAAAATGTCCTTCCCATTAATTTCATATCTATAATAATGTATTCGAGTTAATCTGTTACCGTTAATTTACTTCCCACAACAGATTAACTTTATGTAATTTTGCCTCTTGCAAATATCAGTACTTTAGTAATATTATTGAGGTAAAGGCTTACTTCACTCCAGTTGCCCTCAGTCTTTTCATAGGATTTGATCCCACAGACAACAGCTCACTATGTATGCTGCTCAGTGAGGTGGTAGAACTGAAAATATAAACTCACATTTCAAGACAACTACAAAACAAAAAATTCTACCCACACATCATGACACCTGAAACATGTCTACCAGCACAAAACACTGCAATGACAAATACATATTACAACTTTTCCAAATATTTTCATTCGTATAACATAACATACTGCAGACAATCAAATCAGTTGAAAAGTATATACTTTACCCTGCAAGCCTGCTGCTCTCTTTAAGATTCGTTACTGTTGACTTTAGAGGAGTCTAAAAAAAAATTTTGACGGGCTTTAAACAGTTTCTATATGTACACCTCTATGAAAAACGTACTTCTTTTAGAAATGTTCTGATTGAATTTCAAGAAGTGAAGGAAATGTGTGTGTGTGTGTGTGAGCATGTGTTTTGATCAGCTTTAAGTGTTGCACATGCTACAATTAGTCCATCCTACCTGAATGTTCAATCTATCCGTCAGTGGTGTGAGTGGCCGGCGTGGAGTTGGTTGCTGAATCAAAAACATGGGGTTCTGTGAAGGGGGAGGGGGTGGTGGTGGTGGGGGTATAGAAGCAGGGGGTGGTGGAGGAGGAACACAGGGAGGGGGAGGGAAGCTCTTTTTCCCTGTTGGGGTATTTTCATCATTTAAAGATGCACGCTTGGACTTTCTAGCTGCAATACGTTTGGAAAATCGTCTCCCTTTGGCCTCTGCATAAACAGAAAAATGGACAGATATTTCTTTCTGGTTTTGGCCACTAATCTAACACCTCTATCCTTAGCATTCAAATTTTTTTTATAATTTGTCACAAAATTAAAATAATAATCAATTTGTAAATAAAATGCAACATAGACAATTAAATTACATATTAAAATTTAACTATGATGAAACTAACCTTGTGCATATTCAAAAGCTTTCTCCATGCCACATGTTAACTCATTCAGCTTCTGTTTACTCTCTTCCTCAGTGATCATATTTTCTACATAATTCTCACCTTGAACTGCCATAAAAAGTTTACACTGAATAATAAAACAGAAAATCTTTGTTAATATTTACATCATCCATCAATCCATAAAGATGCTAGCTTAAAAAGTGTAATCTTTTGCGTTACACCATACAATAATGAGATGCACAGATGCAATACATATTGCTAAACTAAAAGGTTTAGTATAAAGAATTTCTTTTAATGTGACCATGTAAAATTTAACAGCTTATCCAGTTTACTGATGAACATGAGTTCCCTATATGAGGTAAATTACCCAGGACTGGATAGATCAGTTTGAACTTACCTTCAAATAAGAAAATACACCAGAATTTTCTATCTCTTCTTGTTTTTTCTTTTTCAAAATTTTATGATAAGTAACTGGATCAGATTTTAAATGCTGTATAAGCTCCTGAAACAGATGTAGAATCAGTTAGTCTAGAAGTCATACAGAATTTGTTTGACATTAAATTTTGCTCGTACATGTACATCTACTTTGTAACAAAAGACTTCATTACTTACACAGCCAGCTATAAACTTAAATAGAATATGTAACAAGCAACCAGGATAGTCTAGGATACTTTAAAGTTACATATGTGGTGAATGTGGATTCCCTATAACACATACTAGTTTCTATTAGTTTCTCATGCAACTCAAATTAAATCGATGAGCCAAAGGCTTTACCAAATTAATCACTCAATCAGCCATAAAAGAGCTTTACATCTGCAAGGTGTCATTTGGTCAGTTTTTGTGGCAAAAATCCACCTTTAAGGTGTAATGCTCTGGATTATTATACATACCCGAAGGGCTTTCTCTGTCTCTGTTGCAGTTTGTTCCTCATATTCATCCTCTGTCATCTGACTGCAGTATGCACTGCGTAGAGGAGAAGGTTGGTCAAATTCATCCAAGTTTCCAAAACCTTCATGCTGTACAGGGCTGGTGACTGCCATTTCTATGAATTTCCATTAATTATGCTAAAGACATTAAAATATGAAATCCAATATACTTTCTGTTTCTATTCTTGCACTTTTACAGCATCACAATTCTACTATTTTCTTCTTTACTATTGCACAAGTAATAACTGAAATAGCTTGATTATTAGGCAAACTATTATAACGGTTATCTGGCTAACAGAAACCTATCTTAACCAACACTACTCTTATTCAAAACAATGAGACTGCAATAAAAGTGTTACACCTTCTCCCCCCTCCTTAAAGAAAAGAAAAAGGAAAATGCCTTTCCTTGCTTTTTTCAGCATCACCCAGTACAGTATACATGTACAGTATGCACTTGCAAAATTTTTAAAGAGCTCAAAAGGTTTAAAATTAACAAAAACTTATTTTAATCTCATATCAGTAGGGCAGACTATATTTATTTAATTAAAATTCCGATTATTTAATTTCAGTTTCCTAAAATGACGTTCGAATTTTCTCCCCTGACATTGACAATGCTACAAAGAAAGTCTGATTTCTTTGATTTGACATAGGCAGTCAAATAACTATCTTCCTCTTCATCAATGACAATGATCAACCTCATAGTCATAAATAAATCCATTGTACAGACAAACTTTTTTAAACTAAGTTTTTAACAGTACCTTTTTTCAAATTTACCAGTCAAGGTATTACGGCTAGCATTTTTTACTTCTATTAAGACCAGGTGATGTAAAGTCTTAAAAACAAAGTCCATTCAAGATAAGAACTATTCAGGTAAGTTGTTGACTACTGACCTAACAATGTTTACCTTTAAGTAAGCATCTGACTCTTCTGGTTTCATTTGAAACTACCGCAATCTCGTTATACGATAAATCTCGTGACTTGGAAGTAACATCCGGGCAAGTCAGAGTTGGGTCTTACAGAAGTTAGACCCACTTTCTCTTAGGCGCTTTCCAGCAGCTTTTTCGCGCGTCCAAAGTGGGCGACAGGGGGTAAATCCTCTGCTAAGCATTCTCGGTGCTTTTTTTGCATCTGTATTTTGTACTTTCATAGCTGTTATTTTGCTACAGAAGGCGAAATATTGCTTATATTTTGTTTGTTTTGGTCGAGATGGAGTTCTAAACATGGTCGCCATTCAGAATTTTGTCGGTCCTTGCTCATGCAACGGAACGGCCTTCGGGTCTTACTCAGATATTGAAGTAGATGCAAGAGAGTGTAGAAGAAACAGAAGATATGGACAGGAAAACCAACAACCGGGCTTCTTCTGTCCCACCTAAAGGAAATGGGTCGGATTCGGGCAACCGGAAGTCAGGTCGGTTCCCATGATCTTAGCTTTAACCATTTTCTCTACTTTATGCTTTAACGGTATAGAGAGATAAGAGTCTTGATAGGTGAAGTCTTGATCAGCTGGTCTAGTGCAGTGCAACCTTTTAAGCAAAATGTACTTGACAGGGTTTTAACAGGATGTCATAATTTATATGTAGGCTGTATGATTGTGTCCCTTAATTATTGTCTTTAACTTAGAAAAGAGAAAACCCTATAATTCTCCATAATAACTTAATTTGATTTGTTATAGTCATTCTGACTTCGGTAAGAAATGTTAACTTTCCAGTTTTGCAATTTTTAAAGTTTTTTATTAATTGTATTTTCATATATTGATCAAATTCCATGGAGGTCATGGTCATTAATAAAATGAGGATTTCATGTGATTGAGCAACAGATTTGGATGACTGATATCCTTGATTATACTTTTCCCTTTCTGTTTAACAATTTAAGTGAAAGATTATTATAGAGAAAAGGGGAAATTAACATCTGTTATTATTTGGATATTGTTGGCTTGCAGTTGACATTAGTTTTCTTGCTTAGAAAGGGGAATACCTTATTATGACTGGAAAACTGGAAAATGGCTTTGAGATGAGCTGTGGGTTTAACTAAATACGGACTAGACATGTATGAACCATGTGAATTGAAATTGGGTGAAGGCTTACTTTCACTTATTGACAGGTTTCTACACCTTGCTGCAAATTTTCATATGCAGCTACCTAGAATCTGGGTTTCGTGTCTTTATTTTCAGTGTACATAGCAAATCATGTAAATTGTTGTCTTTTTGCTTTCAGTAACTTTGCAAATATGCAACTGAATTCAAAACAGATTTTTTTTTTCATTCTAGATAATGGAAGACAGACTAGAAAACGAGACAATGGAAATAACAGACCAAAACAAGAGCCTGGATTTCAGAGAAAACAGCCTGTGCCGCAGAAGTCAAAAGCATTTTCTGATAAAAGACCTCAATCTAGAGGCAACAAACATAACAGACAGAGGGATGAGGTGAGTGTTTTAGAAGACCGTAAATGAAATATTATGACCACCTCCACTACAACCAAACAAAAAAGTTAAGGAAAAATAGAACTTGAACCACAGATACTCAGTTATAATTGTTAATTTAGTAACTTGATTTGGTCTTAAACATACTTAAGTTTTACATTTATGTGATAATGGGAGGTGAACATGCCTGAAATATTATTTATTTATATATCATTATATAAGTAATATTATTATGACTTGTTACTGTTAAATGGCACTAGGTGTCAATGTTTTGGATGTGTTGCTGCTAATTTAAGGACAAAATGAAATGTGTCAAACTTTCAGGTAGCAAAGGAGGACAGGGCTGGACCTGAGTTGGGTTCGGCTCTGAGGCCCTTTGGCAAAAAGACCAACCTCAACCATTTACTGAATTTTACTTTTGCCCCACGTGAGCAAGACTATTCAGCAAGAACAAGGACTAATGCAGGTCGTAGGAAGGTTAGATACAACAAGGAGCAGTTCTTACAGGCGAAGTAAGTTGACCCATTTTGGACCACTCTAGCATACATTTCATATATTTGTAATTGGTGGACAGCGTAACCAAGTGGAACATTGGAGTCATTACAGCAGTAGACTTTACTTTCATGCATGAGCTGGACAAGTCTGGCAGTTTTGTTAAGCCATCACTTATGGGAATGTAGCATGTTTATATTTCTTCAGATTTGTTTGCATATATTTAAGATAAAATGGTTTTTTATTGCCTAATTGCATGATGATGGGGAACTTCTGTAAATTTATTATTTTTAGTTGCCAGTTCATTGTGTCAACTGATGGCGATTACACTTTGAATGCAGTAGATCCAGACAGTTTGGTGGGCTGGGAACATATTGAACAAGTAGTGAGTATTATATACTAGGAATGAAAATGAGGGAAAAATTAATATTCAATTTACGTTAATGTAAACACATTCATACAGTTTGTTATTTCCCCCATTTTGCAGTTGGATTTCTGCACAGTTAATTTTTGTCTAAGTACTATAGAAAAATTGTATCACATTTTTAATATATATATATATATATATATATATATATGTACGAATGCAAAGGAAACTGGTTTTACACATTCAAGTGAAATGAGTAATATCACAATTTTGCTTTTCTTTGATTTTCAGTTAAGCAGTTTGCTGATTTTTATGCTTTCCATAATTTACAACATTATAAAGTGCTTTTTTTTTTTACCCCTTATTTTCAGAGAATTTTCAGTTTTGAGGTACCTTCCTGTCCCATTTGTTTATATCCCCCTGTAGCAGCCAAGATAACCCGCTGCGGCCATATTTACTGCTGGACCTGCATGCTGCACTATCTGTCCTTGACAGACAAAACCTGGAACAAGTGCCCTATTTGTTATGAGGCAGTGCATAAAGAAGACTTAAAAAGGTGAACGCTTTGATGGACATGTTGTAGACTTGTGAATTATGTTTGTAACATCACATGAATTCTTAAAACTATACATAGTGGGATTTCTTAGGTGGTGCCTTAACCCAATCCTTGTGGAAACTTAAATTATATGTAGCTCCTCTGCTTTTTTCCATAATATACACACCCAAACCTTGCCACATGTTTTTTCCATTACAAATTTTTTATTCAACATTTTGTTGCCCCAAAAATAGTTTTATTCAATTCTTGTTTCCCTGCTATATTGCTCTTGAAATTTAATTGGGTTTACCTGCATTTTTTAGTGTGTCAGCTATGTCAGTCCACCAGTACAGCCCTGGTGACCAGATAACAATGAGACTGATGAAAAAGGAGAGGGGAACTACGTTTGCAATGCCAAAATCACAGTGGGAACCCAGAGAGGGAAGACCCTACAGAGTTGATGGTAAGTTACGTTCAGGGATTGGCAGTACCCTCCACCAGGGCGACTGATAGATTTTTTTTACAGATATTCACAGATATGTCTCTAGATAGATAGATGGTCATTTTGGTTCTAAGTCACCCTGTTGAGAAATCTCAAGGCTGATTACATGGCTGATAATTGTTTGCATAACTGCTCAGGCACTGCCACTTAGCAGGTCCAGTCTAAGTCTGCTTGACAGCAATCAAGACAGTTAATTGCTCTGACTTTAATCACTTGCTCTTCTGTGAAAAGCCTTAGACTGGAAGCTCAGCTCATGCAGAGCGAGTACAAAGCCCTTGGCGCGCGCGCAGAGATAATTGTTTCCACATGGTATTTCTCAACAGGGTGACTTGGAACCAAAATGACCATCTATCTATCTAGAGACATATCTGTGAAAAATCTGCAAGTCGCCCTGGTAGAGGGTAGATTGGCAGCATCATAAGATTAGTAATATAATAATCCAGTAAAGTTTATGTGTGTCATGGCTTTTTACTAATACCTGATATATAATATATATATTTATATGTATATGCATTTATGAACAAGCAATTTTTATCAGATGTCATTATAGAGTATCCCACACTGTACTTTGAATACACAATATAAGCAGTTAACTATGTATTTTCAGATAAGGTTGATACACATTTTGCTAAACTGCTCCTGGCATCAGGCAGTTTTGTGAAAGACTTGATAAATGAAGAAAAACTGGCACTGGAAGAAAAAATGGGACAGGAAACAGATGTAAGTTGTAGTATAGGTCTGCTCAGATTTAGTTAATGTTATTATTCATACTTGTTGGATTTTGTACATTCTTTCTCGTTCAGTACAGAGCTCATAGTTAAAGTAGGTAATCCACTTAATGTAGAGTGAAGACATAATCACAAGAAGTTATTTTTATATTTTAAAAAATATTTTTACATACATTATGATGTTAACATTGTAAATTTTTCAGACTTTGGAAGAATCCTTTATCGAAGGGGCATTGGAGATATTAAAGAGTAAACAAGGGGTTAAGACTGAGGTTGAAGCTGTGACAACAAGACTCCAGTTGTCAGACTTGACTGTAGAGGATAAAGAGGAGGAGGTAGTGCCCATTGTCAAAGTAGTGAGTGAGGTCAGTATGAAGTCATTTAACTGATTTTTTTTTTTTTTTTTTTTTGTGATCTTCTGTGTGTTTACTGTTTTTTAAAATTTGTTCATCAAAAAGTAGTTACATACTACCACATTACTGTAAATTTGTCTAAAGAAATTTGTTTGGTATAGGATGTTTGATTCAGTTTTCAATACAAATATGTGTCTGTTATATTAAGAATGATAGTTTTTTACAAGTGCCACAGACCAGACTAGTCACTTGATGTTTGTTTATCTTGTAGAATGTTGTTGAGTATGTGTCGGCATTTGATGATGTGGAAGAAGAGAAAAAACCAATAGAGGCTGCTGCCACTGCCATGGACACAAACACCTCAGACAGCTCTGAAATGAATGGCTCAAGTCAACATATGGAACACATGGAGGAAGACAAAAGTGCTGACCACAGTGCAAGCATTGGTGAAGTTAGAGTGGACAGTGGGCAGCCTATGGTAGACAGTTGTCTGGTTGAGAATCCAGTTGACCAGGAATTAACAGTGGAAGAGGCTGCCGAGGAACTGGCCCTGCCACCAGCACCTAAACAGTCTGCACAGAAGTTTTTTTACTTCTATCAAGGTAGGGGGATTTTTTAAAAGTGCAGTTTCTCTTTAATTCATGAACCTAGACTGGTTTTACCAAAAAGTCTTTTATCAACAATTTTTTTTTTTTACTGAAAAGAAGTTTGAATTTTATATCTTGGGCATCATCATAGTGATTACTATTTGAAGTCAAACATAACTTTCATTGTATCCAATGATATCTAATGCATGTTTTAATTTGTGGACAAATTTTGTTTTGACTCCATGAAACACTTCAATACAATTATTTCAACCTATTTATCTGTGTTCACCAGCTTCTGATGGCCAGAATATCTACATGAATTCCTTGAACATCCAAATGCTGGTCCAGGAGTATGGTAGTCTGGAGAACTGTCCTGAAACCATCACAGCTTCCATTGTGGACATGGAGGGAATCTTCATGACAGAGGTATGAACATTATGAACACAGACTTCCAAAAAATTTTTTTTGAACAAGGCATATTGTGAACTATGGGAGCATGATAGTCATAAGTGATGGGTAATTAATTCAGAGATATGGTTGTGTAATCTTTAAAGCAGTAAATGCTTGTAAGATAGAGTGCTACATTGAAGTTTTTTATGCCTGTCTTTTATAAAAGGCAGGAGGAATTATTATAGGCAGGTTTCATTACCTTCAATATTATTCATTTTTTGTCTAGAAAAGGACAGGTGAAATTTTGTGGTCATATTGATACCATTTGACTTTTATTGCAGGAGTTGCGTAAACGTCTGCGATACCTGAGCCACATGCCTCTTACCTGTGAATTCAGTGTGGCAGAGCTTGCGCTGAAATCGCCAATAGTTTCCAAAGAGACTATTAAGAAATTTGCAGGTAAAATCTTTGAAGCCTTTCAATCATTGAATTCAAACTTTTGTAAGACATGCTAATATTTAGAAATAGGCTACTTCAATATTACAAAGGAAATGATGATATATGTTCCATTATTCTTAATGATGACATTTGTTTTCACACAAAATGGTGAATGATGTAAAAGGTCATCTGATTCGGTGCACTTTTAACATATATATAGGAATAAGACTGTTAACTTATATTTTAAACTGATAAACATATTTTATTTAAATGTTGCACTGCTTTGTTTTTGGCTCACAGGTCAGATAGATCACCGTAGAAGAATGCGACAGAGGAAAGCTAGGGAGGAGCACAAGAGAGCGAAAAAGATCCAAGCAGAAGAAAACAAAAAATATGGAATTTGTAAGTGGAAGCTTTTCTTTTATGCATCATTAGTAAATTTGGCTTTCTTTTCATCCAAAAGGGTACTATTTTTGTGATCTTTTTTTTTGGTATTTTTCTGGAACTGTGAACCTGTTTTAAGGCAAATGTGTCAGAAGTAAGCTTACTCTGTTTTAGACCCAGAACTGAGAGTACCACTGGAAAGTAGGTCCCAGTTCCCAGAGTACAGCAACAGTGAAGCTCTGACTGATAGCCCTGGACTGAGGTCCTCATCTCCTTTGACCACTGCTTCCACCTCCTCTTCAGCAAACACACCCTTTGGAAGTCCTCTGTCAAGTAAGTTGTTATTGCCAATGTACCCACAGGCATGCATTCAGGCGTACATGTACACAATTGCACCTACACTGGATACCACTTTACTGCACATGCTTGGAGTTCTTACAATTTCTTATTGATTGAAGGACTTCATCGCTGCAAGTCAATTTTGTACCCCAGTTAATTGAGCAAGATAAAGAATATAGTGTATACTTCATTTCAACTAATTTTGTTGACTACTTTTATAAAAAATAAACCTTTAATATAAAATTATGTAAATTCATTTTCATTTCAGCACTGAAGCCACTTGCAGCAGAATTTCAGCCAGGTTCTCCAATCAGTGATGATGGTCAGTCAAGTACTCCTTCCTTTGCACAGGTACATTTTCACTCTGATAACTACCTTAGTGTGGTGCATATTCAGTTAATTGTTCAATAGTTACACAAAGTAGGATTCAAAATGCATTCAAAGATTGGATTGCTGCCTGTTGAACATGTCTAAGGACAGTTTAAACTATTAAAACAGAAAATGACAGGTAAATGGCCTACATCAGTATCACACAAGTAATGATATTAACGCCCCCTGTCCAACCCCAGCAGTCAGCCTTTGTGACACAGCTTGAAAAGAACGCAATTTTTGGAAGTCGAGTCGATGGAAATGAATGGCAAAAATGAAAAGCCTTAATGTGGGATTTGTTCTTTGGCTTTTTCCAAAACTGTTACAGAGTTATGGTGAGTGTCAGGAAAGGAAGATTAAAGGTTGGTAAATCCAGGGAAAATGCTGTTTACGCTGGAATAATTCGTTGAATGTGAATTTTGGCACCAAAATCCTCTTTTGTGTACATTTAATTTACTTTTGTTATTAAAGTAAACATGAAAGAATGCATGGAAAGAATATCATTAAAACATTTGATGCAAAAAGTAAAAAAGAAATAAGAATGTTGATAGAATGGTTGCTAATATAATGGGCTGAGGATAAATGCCATCCGTCCTGTTTGGTGTTACATATATATTAATTTACTGGTGTGGTAGTTGTTCCCATTTTTTTTCTTCCTGTAATTCCTACTAATTTTAGATTGTACATTAAAATATTTAAAGATTACAAATTGTACACATGTAGAGATGAAAGTTGAATGATGATGACGAAGATGATGATGATGATTGTGCCCTAATTCAATTTCAGATGCTAAAGGCTGGCAAGGCCAAGCCCAGTCCAGTAGCAGCCTGGCCAGTGCAGACGTCCAGCACCCCCTCCAGACCCCCCGGCCACAGCCCTGGGTCAGATGAGAACAGTGACAGTGAGGACAGGGTGCCAGTGCCAGTGTTCCAGACGTCATTTGGGGATGCCATTCAAGCTGCTCTGGATAAACTAGATAGCCCAGGCACTGTGGAAGTAGCTGTGAATAATGGTAAGTGCAATTCTGAGAAAAGTTCTCTTGGCTTGTTTTATAAGTATTGCTCTGTAGAAATGTAATGAAAATTAACCCCTCCCTCCCCAATACTGTCTGTACCAGTAAGGCAGATTTAGTGATGAATGAAATTGATTTATCCTTCTGTTTTTGGTAATGTTTGATCCCAGCAACATTTTGCATTTCTCAACCAGTTCAATAAAAAAATGTACACTTTCCCCAATTTATGTGTATGTATTTAACTGTTTGTTGTTCAGATCAAGTATTTCAAAAGTAGACTAGCTTATTAGATGTGATTTGTTATTATCTGAAGAATTTTATGGTGAGCATGTGATTTGTAAAATTTAACAATTTACCCATTTTTACAGGTATTCCAAAGGAAGCTCCAACTACTGGGAAAAAGAAGAAGAAAGGAAAAACTTTGCTCTTCTCCACTTCAATGGCACGGTCAAAGTAGATGGGACACAGGCTGAGAATTATACCATGTTTGATTGTAATTGAATTAACAGCACAGACAGCAATGCTGTAAATATATTTACCAAAATGCCAATTATCCAAGATAGCCCAAAGTCCTGGAAATTAGCATACAAGTAAGAGGAGGTTGGATCATTAGTAATGACAGACTAGTGAGGGCAGTGCAGCAACAAATAAAAGCTGACAAAATTTTATCTTCTGATATCTTTCTGGGTTCTTTCTTGTAAGTTCTGTGGAATTAAGTCTGTTGCACATAGTCACCATGTTCTGTGTGATACTTTTTTTTATTGTTTTCTAAGACATTCAGTGTGCATAGAGGTTCACCCTTATTGCTGAGAGGTTGTTTTACCTCACCCCACATGATTCTTGCACATACTTTAGACTCGCATGACCTCACACAGTACTTACAGGCTCCTTTAAGGCTTTCTTGGAGGATTCCCATTGGAAAAACTAATAGCTTGGATTTGTATGCCCAAGTTCATCCTGCACAGTTTATGCAGCTGCTTCAATATGCATACGGGGATTGTAAGTTGATGCGTTGATAGACGTTAAAAACATTGTAGGCTTTTGTCATCTTGAAGTTACTTTTGTCTTTGAGTGTTGGCTTCACATGATGTTTACTTTTTGTCTTATGATGGTAAAATGTAATGTTATCAAGAAGAGGGGAGGGGTAGATTTTTACTCTCCCCCCCCCTTTCCTGAACCAAGGCATGCTGTAGGTTTTAGCAGTATGACAGGAAAAAGACCATTACTGGTCACGTTTGTATATTTTAGTTGTGCAATTATTTTCCAGGACTCATGGGCAATTTTTTTTCCAGAATTGAAAATTGAATTATTTGCTTGTGACATATCAAATGGATTTATAACCCACCCAAAAATGGTGGAAATAATTTTGAATATTAATGTTACGTGAAATGAGACGTTGCACGATTTCGTTTTCCACAGTGATGAACGCAGGATCTATATATATGTGAAAAATAATCATTTATTATCCATTGTATTTCTTATCCATTGTATTTGCAATACAATTAATCATAGACGTTAAGAAACTGTTCCTCTAACCTGACATTATGCAGGTTCTTGAATTTGTGTACTGAGCTTGTTGAAAACAAAATTGTTGCTTTTTTCTTGTAGTCGGGCATGATTACATCATGATAACAAAATGGGTGAGTTTTGTTTTAGGCTGTGGTACAGGGATTTATATCTGATCAATAAACTTTACACAGTTATAACTGCAGCGTTTTCAGTAACTCGTTCCTTCTCAACACCCGAACCATGTTGGTCCTGTGGCTCTTGGATAGCCTGGCAGTAAATTTCGTCTACGGTTGTCAAACTTGTAGAAACTGAAAGACGAGCGAATATAATGTTATAAAGATTGTGTTTGTGAGAAAATGACTGTGATTACTGCAGTAATACACTTTCTTTCTCGTTATGTAATACGTATTAAGGTGGCAAATTAATCTGAAGGACTTTTTACAACTGAGCTTTCTTCCTACCTTGGAAGGGGGGGGGGCGTTAACCATTTATCCAATAATGGAAGATTATACAATAAACTACTTACCTGTTTCCTTTAAAGAAATAAGAAAATCTGTTGGCGTCTGTCACAATGGTTGCGTCCAAATCACCCGGGATGTTCCTCCAGTACCTCGTAATCGGCGCGGGATATCCCCGAGCAATCCTCATGCTATCTCTCCCTTCTAGAAGCTGGTAGTACTGGTTCCCCTACAAACAATAAGAAATTTTTAAACATTAGAAAAGAGCGGGAGTTTTTAGATCAAAATGTGGAGAAGTATCTTTAAATTGGGCTTCTTGCTTCACAATGAGTACTATATAGGTAAATGAAAAAATTGGGTTACTGAAGGATAACTGTTTTCTTTACCACCCCCCCCCCCTTCTGTATTTCATACGACACAGCTAGGAAAGTGCGCTTTGTTGGAATACTTCAATACCTCAAGTATATAAAATGAATTTTGGAGCGAAATGCCTGCTGTTATTGACAAATATCAAAATCGTACATGGAATGCAACCTGAGGTACATGTGCTGCCACGGCTTGTTCAAATCGACTTCGAACTGATGATGATCGGAACCAAGCCATAGTCCTATTTTGGCCACGAAAGATTTTATTCAAGCTAATGCACTGTATAAAGGAACATATTTTTAATGAATCAGTTTTAATCATATATCCCCAGAAATCGCCGCTGAATAAATAAACGTTTTCATCATGCATGCGTATTTTGTATTACCCTCTTTGAAGTGGTTATCGGACGCATACTTTTTCAGATGCATTTCAAGTCACAGGTGAAGGAAAATGTTATTTCTAATTCTCGCCAAGAATTTCATTGGTTATCTGGTGTTTTTATTATGCTTGAATAATGACATACGCCAATCGTACTTACATTAAAAATGAACAAATTCCCGTTTCTCCAAGTCAAGGCTCCCTGTATGCTTGAGGGGAACCTCGGATCACTGATTGTTGTCCTAGAAATAAGTGTGTTGCCTCTGTACTTGAACAGTTTTTTACCTGGAATTAAAACCTTGAGTTTTAATTGTTTGTATCATTAGAACAGGGATCAGTTCTCTCTTTCTCTCTCTCTCACTCACACACTCACACACACACGCACGCACGCACGCACGCACACACACACACACACACACACACACACATCATGGATATTTTTATTCGAGCCAATATTCCCTCTCATTCTAAGTAAGTATAAAAAAAGTGCACCTTTGAATAAATAACTGAAGCCAGTTCTATCGGAATGGGTGGCAGCATCAATATTACTTGGTGCGCTCGGGAAGTCGGCAGTGATCGCCCTCGGGTAGCCGCGTGCCACTGTTCCCTGTGCTGTTAAACGGTACACCTGACTCCCACTAAATACGTAGTAGTTTGAATTTGATACTGAAAATACGAAATAAAATCTTTGAAAATTTTTCAGTTTAAAAGAGACTTTGTGATTCAAAACTTTAAAAAGATCTATGAAAAGATATTTGTGCTGCATTTATACCTAAAAGTACCTACTACATTCTTTTGAATATGCATATTTTTTAGTCAGGTCGATTAATGCATAATGTATACTATTGATTCTAAAACCTCACACTTAGAAACTGACATTGTGCACTACAAGGTCCTTTCTTAACTGACTGGTCTGAACAGAGAAACTGTGCAGTATAATTCAAGTTAGACTGATAACCATGCAAAGCGTTTACGTGTTTGTTCAAGTGGGGCATATCTTCTCTTTAAATGCGAAAAACCTTAAACTTGCTGAAAGCACCGCAGCAAGACTTGTACTTAAATAAATAAATAATAGCATGTCAAGAAATAGAAATGTCGAGCAGACTATGACGAAACAATAAAAAAAATGGAGTATTGGACTATATTATAGTTCTTACCTTCCATCATGCCGTCGATCCTGAAATTATTGGAGCACTGTGATCTGTTGCCGTTTCCTGTGGTTGGCCCTCTGGTGGGCCGTGGAGTGGGACGTGGGGTGGGCCTCACAGTAGGTTGGGGAGTAGGTGGCCGAGTATTACGCCCTAGAAATAAAAGATTTCTTATTTGACAATGGCTATTGATAAATAGTTATGCAGTCGTAAAGCGTTTAAGATTGTGGTCGATTTCCCACTTCTAAAAGACACAATATCTCACGAAATATGCATTAACAATATTTCTTAAGCAAATGCTACAATTGAATGATTTCCGTGTCTGTCATGCACTAGTATCTCAGAATAGCAAGTAGTTTGGCAAAAAACTTTTAGACAAAGAATTTTATCCTGCTTAAATTCTTTTGAAACTGCCTGACAGTAATGTACAGCTTTAACCAAACAGGTTCAAAGACTTTAAGCCTGAAACTTGAATGTGACTTAAGCAAGATCACACATGCATACCATATATGCGTTGGATTCTCTGAATGTCGTCCCTGCGCAGCGCAAAGTTGCGTTCGTAACCCCCGTAGAAGGGTGCAAGGACAGCTCCACGTACTCGGGAATGCGGCAGGCCGAGGAGATGGCCTATCTCGTGAGTGGCCACAATCTCCAAATCGATCCCGCCTCTCGGCTTGTTATTGGCCGTCCAGCGCTCGCTTTCATCAAAACGAGTGTTGCCATTCTCTGGGAAGAATGCATATGCCAGAACACCTCCTTGAATAAAATAATCGGGGGTTGACTTGCAATAAAAAGGAATAACAGCCGTTCATAGTACATATCAGATAATGAAAAACTGAATTATATTTACTCTTAACATTTAGATGGTGTCTTTCCATGTTAAAAATGCAACTTGTCAGTTTATCAAAACTAACAGTCTTCATCATATGAAGTGTCAATAACTATTTACCCCTTCTTCCAAAGGACCTCCCAGAGCTCATAAACCGAATACGGATGTCGGATCTGCCCGGTGCCCCAATCTGCAGTTCTCTGAATGTAAGTGGAGTCACGTCACTCCAGTGTTTGAAGGCCTTCCTAAAAGCGTCTCTGTCAAAGAAATGGAAAAGAAAAAACTGTAAAATAATAATTTATCAGAGATCGAAATATTCAAAACCAACTTGACGAGATTCATGAAATAATGCGGTGAAAAGAAAATTAATATGTATGAGCGATAGCTGTTCACAGATAAAATTTTGTTCATCGAATTTGTCTCTTTAATTCATTTCATTGATGGAAAATATTATTATTATTATTATTATTATTATTATTATTATTATTATTATTTAGCGCTTTTTTCAGGGTTTGTAAGATTTAATACAAAGACAACTATCTTATCCAATCATACTAGGCATTTTAAGCAAATCAGCAACTGAAAAATAATAGTGACGATAGAATTACACGTACCTTTGGATGTTAGGAGCCATATCAGGTGTAAAGTTTTCCAGTCTCCAAGTAAGGTCTCGTTTCCTCCATCCGCCGTTTCTGGTTTGTCTTTTAGTTATCCTAACACCATACTGTGACGCCCCCATCTCGCTGTCAGGCCCCATATCAGCCATTCCACACCGAGGCATCTTCATCATGAGGCGTGTGCGAAAGTCCATGCGGCCGGTCACACGGATGTGAGCCATTCGTTGGAAGTTCCTTAATTTTCAAATTCTTGTGTTCAGAATTACGTTTTATATGACGACGTAAATTGAAAGACACCCTCGCAACTTAAGTTTTGAGCATCGTAACGATCTTCAGGTTTTAGATATAACGTTTTGATATATGAATTAAATCCCAGTATCTAACTGGATGTATATTTTTATGGAGGTCAAAATTTGAGCATAAAATACGACATTGATCAATTTGCATTTACATTTTTGAAATATAATTATTGAAACCCGGTATTATGTAATTTACTTACTCGATTGCTGTCCGCATTTTTTCAGTGCTCATTTCTCCTTCTCCTGACATATACCCAAACTGATCGAGATATGACTTTAAAAAGAAAAAAAGTATACAATTAAAGACTTACGGCAATACGCAACTGCTTTTTTCAAACAAGCTGGTAAAATTTAATAAAAATAAGGCCAAAACATCCGTGATTTAAATCACTTTTATAATCTAAGTAGCATCTGAAATGAAATGTTGTTTTTTATTTCAAAGTCAGTTGCCATTCTATGGAAGGTCCGGACTTACCATGTCATCATCATTCATATTCACTTGTCGCATCATATTTCGAGTACGAATCTTATCCAGTAAGCTCTGTCCCTGTATTGTTACAAATAGAACAGTGAAGGTAAAGCAGGACAACGTTAGAGCAAACCCCTTCATTTTTCTCCTTGCTTCGAACGTACAATCAAGACTGCTCAACTGTCTCTGTTTTGGTCCTTTTATATGAACCAGGGGCCTGAAAATAACGCCAACTTTTGTTATCTGAGTCAACAGTACGATGATTTTAACCAATGAAAAAAGCCGCGTTATGGACGTCTGTGGGGGTCAGGATGACGCATGTTTTAGCGTTACGTTCTACCTGGTTAAAAATAAAGTTTTTCAGCTGAAGCATGTTATTGAAAATCAAATATTTGTGTCTTTTACGTCGACTTGGCTCAGCATGCCGGATACTTCAAATTCTAGAATACCTATGTTTTTATAAAGAATAGTATGTAGTAATTATTCTAATTTTAGTCGGTTGTGGTTTGCAACACAACACTTTTGCTGTCCATAAAAGAAAACGTGTCTGAATTGAGGAAATATGACAATCGGCAAACACACCCTTTGGAAGTCCTCTGTCAAGTAAGTTGTTATTGCCAATATACCCACAGGCATGCATTCAGGCGTACATGTGCACCTACACTGGATACCACTTTACTGCACATGCTTGGAGTTCTTACAATTTCTTATTGATTGAAGGACTTCATCGCTGCAAGTCAATTTTCTACCCCAGTTAATTGAGCAAGATAAAGAATATAGTGTATACTTCATTTCAACTAATTTTGTTGACTACTTTTATAAAAAATAAACCTTTAATATAAAATTATGTAAAATTCATTTTCATTTCAGCACTGAAGCCACTTGCAGCAGAATTTCAGCCAGGTTCTCCAATCAGTGATGATGGTCAGTCAAGTACTCCTTCCTTTGCACAGGTACATTTTCACTCTGATAACTACCTTAGTGTGGTGCATATTCAGTTAATTGTTCAATAGTTACACAAAGTAGGATTCAAAATGCATTCAAAGATTGGATTGCTGCCTGTTGAACATGTCTAAGGACAGTTTAAACTATTAAAACAGAAAATGACAGGTAAATGGCCTACATCAGTATCACAAAAGTAATGATATTAACGCCCCCTGTCCAACCCCAGCAGTCAGCCTTTGTGACACAGCTTGAAAAGAACGCAATTTTTGGAAGTCGAGTCGATGGAAATGAATGGCAAAAATGAAAAGCCTTAATGTGGGATTTGTTCTTTGGCTTTTTCCAAAACTGTTACAGAGTTATGGTGAGTGTCAGGAAAGGAAGATTAAAGGTTGGTAAATCCAGGGAAAATGCTGTTTACACTGGAATAAATCATTAAATGTGAATTTGGCACCAAAATCCACTTTTATGTACCTTTTATTTACTTTTTTTTTATTAAAGTAAACTTGAAAGAATGCATGGAAAGAATATCATTAAAACATCTGATGCAAAAAATAAAAAAAAATAGGAATGTTGATAGAATGGTTGCTAATATAATGGGCTGAAGATAAATACCATCCGTCCTTTTTGGTGTTAATATTTACTGGTGTGGTAGTTATTCCCATTTCTTTTCTTCCTGTATTTAACCCTCATCCACAAGGAAATGGAACCCTACGTAAACCCTGAAACCGGGCCTCAGAGGCCCGGTGTACCATGAAAATCTGACTCCCATCAAAAAACATTCAAAAATCTAATTTAATTTGAGTAAATGACTATGATCTTGTAGTATGCATAATGGAGGACACATTGGCACTTTTTGTTAGTTTGCAGGTGAAAATTTTCATGAAAAAATAAAAAAAAATTAAAGATTTATATTTTACCACCCAAGGACTCCCCTATGAAAAAGCTATTTATTTGACATTTGATGACCATTTCAACATCTTTTCTTTGAGGATACTTTATGAGGAATATATTGAAAGTACTTGAAAGTTTAATGGTTAAAAAATTGGGTGAAAAAAA